ACTTACCGCAACTGCTTCTCGATTATACCTCCGTAGTAGTTCTCTTGTAACTCTATGTTCACACCTGATTCTCTTTTTAATTTCTACCCTGAAAATTTTTACTACCAGGTTGGTAGATGAATTAATTTTTAACGAATGAAGGCTATTGGAGCTCGCTCGGGTAGGTATGTACCAGCATCCTGCCTGTTTCTACCCCGAAGCTCCCGGCGCCAGCTACAGACTCAGACAACCTTTGCTCGCTAGGAGAAGTCTTCTGCCTATACATTCATAAAAACATAACAAAAAGTCTTCTAATTTTATGCAAACCTTCGTAATCGAGCAATACCGATGACGTCAGAATTTTACATACGGTGAATAATTTAAAATCTACATATATTATGAACGGTTACATTATATCTATTGTTTTCATAATATTCCTTGACACTTCCTAGCACTGAATGAGGTATTTTAAGTTTCATAAAGAAATTAGCTTTGTACTACATCCACCAACTTCAATATATTTCCTTATTTACAAACATGATATTAGATATAGTTTAATAAATAATCGTAAATAATAATTTTCTCATATTATTATTAAAACAATAATATGTTGTTGTTATTTATTATCTCATAAAACAGACGCAAACATTAAATTGTGCTTTAAAAAGATTTTCCTTACATTTGTTTACACCGTTAACATATTAGAATAAACAATTCGAGTCTGTGGGCCGTTGGATGTTTACGATAATGTTTCAATGTTTATAAACATGTTACGATAAATTCATGATGGGACTTACTTAACAGAATTGTACATTTTGTGTAGCGATTTGTTTAATATTATTTTTATAATCATACAGCATTAAGTCTCGTCGACTGTTACTGCTATTACAGATTGGACTGATTCTTTGTCGTCGATATGGGTCCACTACTGGAGCCCTATCGTTATTATTTTTTGTTAAGGACGGACTGGTGGAACCGAGGCCTTTTCCAGTTTCACCAGGACAGGTGGACGAGCACAGGCTCAGCCAGGAGAGGTGGGATTTGCTAACAGATATCCGAACGCCTCTGGAAAAGTTTTAGCAACTTAAAGACAGCTGCTTCTCGAATGAACCTACTACCGGATCGAAATCGCGACCCGCCGTGAGGATCCGGCGAGAAACTCAGCGGGCAGCCCTATCATTATGGAGTGACAAGAATGGACAAGATAAAGAATGAGTATATCAGAGGAAGTGTGAAAGTAGGCCCGGTAATCAACAAATTAAAGAGCGGACGGTTAGCGTGGTATGGACATGTGATGCATAGAGAGAAGATGCATGTGACTAGGAGATGTATGGAAATGGTAGTGCAAGGTAGAGGGAGAAGAGGTCGACCGAAGAAGACATGGATGGAGTGTGTGAATGACGATATGAAAGAGAGAGTATTGAGTGTTGAGATGACAGCTGATAGAAGAGAATGGAAGAGAAAAATTATCTGTGCCGACCCCACCGAGTGGGATAAGGTGGAGAAAAAGAAGAACAGTACCCGTAGACTTTACCGCTTAACTGAGACTGTTCACTTTGAAATCATAATTCAAAATAAATGATCTATTACAATTTACTGTTCAGTTGTGCTAGTTTTTAAAAAGCGTCAACGCTCTTGTACATTATAAGTATTTTAATTTTTTTTTTATTACACTAAATGAGCGTACTGACCTGGAAAGTGTCTGACAAAAGAAAATGAGGCCATCCCAGAACTACTTGGCAGCGCTCAGTAGAGCAGGAACTAGACGTCTTGGGCATGATGTGGAAGGAGCCAGAACATACTGCCCAAGACCGATGCAAATGGAAGAATTTGATTCGAACCCTACACTCCAGTAGAGAGTAATAGGAAAGAAAGAAGAAGACTAAATGGCTAGATCGTGGTCCACCTGGTGTTAAATGATAGCCGCAAACATTGATAATGTGGATTCTGCAGGCCACCTCGATACGTGAGATCGAAGCCTCAATTGTATCGTGTAATGGCTGTCCTGCCTTTCAAATTGGAAAGCACTATTACTTCGCTAGAGAATTAGATAGAACGGTTGCGGTCACCGGTTAGGATTCACAATGCCCCCTGGTTCATACAGACTTGAAAGTACGTATTTTCTTAGAGAAATTGGTTCCCGTGTACGGGATTTGAGCCGCGGCATAATTAAACCTTTTTTCAAACTGAAGCTTCCCGTTTTATAAGCTGTTTTACCAATCGCAGTACTCTACCGAAGAGGTGACGGTCAGGCAGTCGTAAAACTTTATTTCAGAAGTGCAACTTTTTTTAAAGGGCCAACGGATCGTGGTATCTATGTACTCTGGTCCCTACTCAACAACAGGGCTATCAATTATCTAACGCAAAAACATCGAATGTAGATACTATATCAAATTAGAAATTGATGAAAATAAAAATAAAATAATTCATTAAATTCATTCATAAAAACATTGAATTTTAAGAGTAATAAAAAGATCCGTCCCAAAAAAATATCTAAACTTCACACTATAACATACGAGATTGCACTGCAACTTTCGATTTCATTGATGGATAACACGTGTGTGTTTTGTTTTTACTCATGCCGAATATCTGATTAAAATAATGTTAAGGCTCCTTTGTCTCTCTGTAAATAGGTAGTTTTTAAAGTAACCTTATGGCTGTCGTGTTATAAACAATTGTTTGCAAGCTCTAATGCAATATGGGTAGCTCTCTGTCCACCATGTGTATGTGTGTAAATTTGGCCTAGAGAAATTATTTCTCAATTGTATTTTATAATTGTTCCGCTCTTCAAACTGAACGTCTTACTGCTTGGCGATATGACGATGCCTACCCACGCGAGCCCACAAAAATACAACAATACATCTTCTTTTTCTCCACCTTATCCCACTAGGTGGGGTCGGCACAGCTAATTTTTCTCTTCCATTCTCTTCTATCAGCCATCATCTCAACACTCACTCCTCTCTCTCTCATATCGTCATTCACACACTCCATCCATGTCTTCTTCGATCTACCTCTTCCCCCTCTACCTTGCACTACAATTTCCATACATCTCGTAGTCACATGCATCTTCAAAAATACAACAATACCACCAGCAAAAATGTATCTGACGCCAAACGATTATACGGAACTACTTAACACTTCTTCGTCATTTGCCCGGTCATTGCTCTCGGAAGTCTTTCCTAGTATTCCCACTAATTTTACTGCTGGGCCACACCAACGCTAGAACCCATATCTCAAGGTGGGTGGTGCCATTTACGTTGTAGATGTCTATGGGCTCCGGTAACAACAACACTAGCTGATGGGCTGTGAGCTCGTCCATCCATCTAAGCAATAAATAAATAAATAAATAAATACCACAAACGAACGGTACATGGCGCGCAAGTTAAGAAACCCATGTATTTTTTACAATTAGCGAAACTCACAATGAAACGTAATCGAGTTTGTACTTTAAAGAAAACAAAGGCTTTAAAGTAGGAAATATCGGTCAAAACAAAAAAATAATCCGAAATATCATTTGGATTTTTTTTGTTTTTACTTACGGTATCCCATTATATAAATTTAATAAAATAAAATAAAAAAGAAGAAGAAGTCAGCGTGCAGAAGTCAGACAGCCCCTTAAAACGACAATTTTTGTTTTTTACTTACGGTGTCCCGTTATACAGACAGGCACATGTTAATTTAATAAAATAAAAAACATACTAAAAATCATTCGTAGACTCTTCGTAGTGTACAGAACTATTCAGAAGTCAGACTGCCCCTTAAATCGAAGAGTACACACGAACACGTGACCCTAAGTCGCGAGTTTAGAAAGTGAAGCAATTCCACAAGCGGTTACACCGTGAGAACAGCGTCACGCCCCCCAGATGTTGGACCGTTGACGTGACCGCAGAGCATATCCGTAATTTTCGGACATTCTCTCATTTTTCAATAATATCAATTGCACATCGACTACTAAAAACGATATGTTGGGAAATTGATAGTAAATTTTACGCCTGTAAGATTATGAATCATATTCGAATCATCGTACATATAATATTATACTATTATTAAAAATTATTTAATAATGTTGCTTAGAGTGATGTATTAATTGTGATAAATTAAGTCGCATAATGTAGCAGAACTTTTCTCTGGTATCTGTAATCGTTACACTCACTAATCTGTGTTCCCATAGGTATTTTTTCCTATCTATGCTGATAGCCTTGAGAGGCTATTTCAGCTTCACCCTAGCGTGTAAGTGAGCTTTCGGGGCTCAAACCGGAAGTGTTGCTAACACTGGCCCTGGCAAGAGCAGTGCTTCGCAGAATCTACTACCGGATCAGAAATGCGACCCACTGAGAAGATCCGGGAACTCAGTGGGCTGTGTCTATGGGTTAATTTATTGGTCGAGCCCTTCGTCGCAAGCGATGGGTTTGGCGAGGACGATGACCGGTGCTTGAGGTACCTAAAAGCACCGTTAATTGATAGATAGGATCCGTGTTGACGTGTTTAGGATGACGTTGACTGTTCACCATTTGGTCCACAGGATCGGGTATCTAATTTCCGAACCATAGGTCAATTTAGCTCTCTTTTGAAAAGTCGTTCTTCAAATAAAGTTTGTAAAGCGATAGGCAGTGCCTATAGGATGCCCCTAGATTTACTGTTGTGTATGAGCGATGATAAAAGCTTTAAATCAGATGAGCCGAACTGACAAAGTGGACAAGTGGTTATCAAAGAACCATAACAATATTACATTACAATGTGTCATGTGTATGTGTGTTATTTTTATAATAGCGTTGATAATACAAATTTATTTTTAATTGATGCGCAACTAACTGCCTGTTTTTAAATTAGCATCTGTTCACAAATTCCAACGCTCTGTAATATTTCTGTCTTAAATGTCTAGACTGCAGTGCAATTAAACTTTCGCTAAAAACAAATTTGAATTAGACGTTGAAACTTCGCGGCCATAAATTCAAGTCGAAATAATTTCACTCAATATACTTTACGAGTACGTTTGGCGTAAATGGAAATTTTGTTCACAGACCGGCTCCGGTAAGACATACACGATGGGCAGCGGCTGGGAAGGCGAGGGAGACGGTGATGAGGACAGGCGCGGCATCATCCCTCGGGCGATCCGGGATCTGTTCGCGGGCGCGGACGCTCGCGCTGATGAAGCACGCACCCAGGGTCAGCTGCCCCCCGAGTTCTCCGTCCAGGCTCAGTTCATTGAACTGTACAATGAGGATATCGTTGATTTATTGGATCCGGCCAAAGATCCATTTTCTAAGGTATAAATAAAACTTTACCAGAAAATTATAATTTAAATAGTTACAAGTGCTCTCACCAATTTCAACAGGCTTTTACGAGAGACCTGCGTTCAGAATGTTCAGAATAAACATTTAAACATATACTGTGTAAATTTATGGCCGTCTTACCAGAATATGGAATCTCTATGGTACTGCGAACATAAAAAATGTAATCAAAATAACAAGAAAACCACGTGATTTTAAAACCGATCAACTGTCTGAACGAATGTACTACCAATAATATTTCGCAAATTTAAAGTAGATGAATGCCAAAAATCTTAATCAAACGTTGAATAAAATAAGTACAAAAAAATCATCGAATCAACTTTTCGCCTGATTGCAATCGAATCTAGCATTACATTACAAGTGTTCTTTCTGATTAGCTATGCCAGTGACGTCATTGCTAAAATGATGTTAAACCAACAAAAAACTACGCCTAATATCTACTAGAAACAAATCGCCCGAATTTAATTATCGCTTAGAATTTAAACTCTGAACTGCATGCTCTTATGATCAAGCCATTTGAACCTTTATTTACGGTCCGTTTAAAATTCACAACTTTTCTATTAGGAAATTTACAAACATATTTTAATCGCTGTGGTCGTGTTCGATATAGAACTAAAATCTCCACCGAAACATTTTAAAAAAGGAAACCGCATGACGAACACATAAAATTTATTTAAACACACTAAACCACTAATAAAAACTACAGGGAGCGTTGAGAATAACAGAGGACGGGTGCGGCGGGGTGCGTGTTGTGGGCGCTTCGATGCGGGCGGTCCGAGGCGCCAGAGAAGCCCTGGGCGCTCTAAGGGCCGGCGCCCTTGCTCGGACAACGGCGGCCACCAACATGAACTCCTCATCGTCGCGGTCGCACGCAGTCTTCACGTTGCTTCTACGTCAACGGAGGCTCGCCGCGGACTTGCCTGACGGCATAGAAAGGGACGCGGAGTCAGATTCCCCAGAACAATACGAAACTTTGACTGCCAAGTTCCATTTCGTCGATTTAGCTGGATCTGAACGCTTGAAGAGGACTGGTAAATATACACAAATAATATTTTTAAGATATAGAGGAGGAGGTTGACCTAAGAAAAAATGGATGCATTGCGTGTAAGAGGGGAGTGAGCGAAGAAATGGTATGATAATGGTGGTAAGAAAATTGACGTAAAATCGGTGACATGTATAGGTAAATTAACAATTATTCTCTTAATCTGTTGTATTGATCGATAAATATAAATCATTAAGGAACATTGTAACCTTTTTTGTAAAAAAATATGATATACACAGACGTACTTCTATGATATTCTTAAAAAAAGCTTGATAAATAAATAATCGATTTCAAGAAATATAATTTAAACATTTTAATTTAGACAATTGAGAATTTGAAAAGTGCGCGCTTGGGATGGTATGGACATTTGATGAGACGAAATGACAATGAGGTTATTAAGAGAGTTTTAACTATGAATGTAGAAGTCTTTAGAGGAAGAGGTAGTAGACCTAAGAAAGAATGGATACATTGCGTGTAAGAGGGGAGTGAGCGAAGAAATGGTATATGATTGAGGAGCATGGAAGGAGAAAACGTGTACCGCCAACCCCATGTGACTGGTAGAAGAGCAGGAGAATGATGAATGTTCTTAAGACTTAATTAGTGTTCGATTTGTTCATTCAAATTAGGAAGTAAGAGACGTGTTCAGTAAATATCGAATACACGTACATATAATCGTGATGTATCTTCATCATGTGTTAAGTGGTTACTGGAGCCCAGAGACATCTACAACGTAAATGCGCCCCCCACCTTGAGATATCAGTTCTAAGGTCTCAGTATAGTTACAACGGCTGCCCCACCCTTCAAACCGAAACGCATTACTGTTTCACGGCAGAAATAGGCAGGGTGGTGGTACCTACCCGCGCGGACTCACAAGAGCTCCTACCACCAGTAAAAAAATTGTCGTCTATATTAATTGTTATTAATTGTGTAACAGGTGCGACGGGAGAGCGCGCTCGCGAGGGTATATCGATAAACTGTGGACTACTGGCGCTGGGCAACGTCATATCCGCCCTCGGAGACAAGTCGAGGAAGGCGCTGCACGTGCCCTACAGAGATTCTAAGCTGACGAGACTGTTGCAGGATTCTTTGGGCGGTAAAGCGAAACCTTTCCACTTCTTTATCTGTTTCTTCTTCTTCTTAGTTGTTTATGTTGGAATGATGGACTTCTTAGAAATGAAAAAAAAATCAAATTTGCTCTATCAGTTAACTTATCCTATATTTAACTCAACTACAATTGTTTTTTTTTATTGCTTATATGGGTGGACGAGCTCGCGGCCCACCTGGTGTTAAGTGTTTACCGGCGCCCATAGACAGGTACAACGTAAATGCGGCCACCTACCTTGAGATATGAGTTCTAAGGTATCAGTATAGTTACAACGGCTGCCCCGCCCTTCAAACCGAAACGCTTTACTACTTCACGGCAGAAATAGGCAGGGTGGTGGTACCTACCCATGCGGAGATACAAGAGGTCCTACGACCAGTAATTACGCAAATTATAATTTTGCGGGTTTCATTTTTATTACACGATGTTGTTCCTTCACCGTGGAAATCAATCGTGAACATTTGTTGAGTACGTATTTCATTGGTACCCGCCTGAGATTCGAACACCGGTGCATCGCTCAACACGAATACACCGGACGTCTTGTCCGTTAGGCCACGACGACTTCAAATATGTCTATGGACTCCAGTAATCACTGTAGGAATATACGATAAAGGAAAGATCTTCCACCGAGCGGGTGATATTGCTCAGTAGACCGACGGTCCGAATGTTGTTGTTCGGAACTTGTATATATGCACTTTATCTTGAAAATGTCGTAAGCGAGATTCAGGCATCTGTCAATTATCTTGCGTTGTATGATGGCTACCCGCCACATCACTCCCCTCCGAGACTGGAGGTCGTGTCATATTTAGTTATCGTTGTCCGTGCTGAGATTAGCTTGCAAGTGCCAGTGCTGCTCGAAGTTTGCGGTGAGTCGAAACTGAGCTTGAATGCTGCGTGATTGTCGCCAGTGCTGCTCGAAGTCTGCGGTGAGTCGAGACTGAGCTTGAATGCTGCGCGATGAGGCAGTGTAGGTGCGTGCCGTAGGGCCAGGAAGCGCGGTGAGTCGGCTGCGATGGTCCTGTTGAGGCTGCGATGCTGGCTTGCTGTGGGACGACTGTCGATGACTTGCTTTTATCTGCGAGAATGCGGGGATTGTGGTAGCCGAAGTTCTTGATGCGCTGATGATGAATCAGAAGGTTGCGATTGTTCCGTCGTAGGTCACCAGTTGTAGGAATATACGATAAAGGAAAGATCTTCCACCGAGCGGGTGATATTGCTCAGTAGACCGACGGTCCGAATGTTGTTGTTCGGAACTTGTATATATGCACTTTATCTTGAAAATGTCGTAAGCGAGATTCAGGCATCTGTCAATTATCTTGCGTTGTATGATGGCTACCCGCCACAATCACTTAACACTAGGTGGGCTGTGAGCTCGTCCACCCATCTAAAAGCAATCAAACTGAAATGGCCATTCCCAGGTAACAGCAACACAGTGATGATAGCGTGCGTGTCGCCGAGCGACCGCGACTTCATGGAGACCTTGAACACGCTGAAATACGCAAACCGAGCTCGGAACATCAAGAACCGTTGCGTCGTCAACCAGGACCTCACCTCCAGGACCATACACCAGCTGCGCCAGGAGGTCGCGCGGCTGCAACTCGAACTAGCGGAATACAAACAGGTAGACAACGGCTTGGCTCTGCCCCTGGCATTGCTGAAGTCCATGGGCGACGGTAACCGCTCACCATCAGATGGGCCGTATACTCGTCTACCTACAAGGGCAATAAAAAAAGTACAACATTCAACTTAACTGGTTATTGTGCTTGCTCGGAAAATTGCGATAGTGGTTATATATTGTAATGAGGGTAATCGCAAATAAAAATCAGATGATGCACAGAGTCAACGCTCTGGTTCGTCGCGGTAGATATCCGCCTACCCGCCTTAGGCATTCATGCTATTATTGGCTTTTAAAAAAAAGTATTGACACTGTTTGTAGCAACAAATGTTCATTTCCGTTTTATAATAAACTTCGAGATTTCTTACATATTATAATCATACATATTATTAATGTAAAAGAATATTCTGTTGTATAAATGAAAGATAATAAATTATCTTTTTTCTGCCATTCTTTTTGACAAACAAAATTAAACGTTAATTCCCACGTGACGTCACAAGTCAATAAACCCAGTCATTGTTTGGGCGTCGTTTCCTACGTTTATGGTTGGATATATATTTTTAGGATTACATTTAATATCATACATAAATATTTCATAAAAAAAACTTTTAATACTAGGAATACCGTTACGTAAACTGTGAGTGTGTAGTAATTTTGTTTTAATTAAAATCCCATTTAATGTTCAGCACTTAGGGTCCGGTTGCTATTGTGATATCTAATATGTTACTTATGAATTTTTGTTAAGGGAAAACGCGTAATATCAGAAAACGGCGAGGAGGGTTGGAGCGATGTCGTCCAAGAGAACGCTATACTGAATGGAGAAGTAGAAGCCTTGAGACGTCGCGTCAAAGCCATGCAGGGCACCATAGATCAGCTGTCGGCCAGGAACAGCGAGCTGATGGCTGAGAAGACGCTGAGTAACTGGATTCCGAAGGATGGCAGCCCTGACGCCAACGATTGCTCCCTCACCACTCTCGTCCAGGTATAGTAAAACTTATTACCAATAAAATTTCTGTAAAGAATTACTGGTGGTAGGACGACGTCTAGTAACCTACTTACCTACCGACACCTATTTCTGCCGTGAAGCAGTAATGAGTTTCGGTTTGAAGGGTGGAGCAGCTGTTGTACTAAACTGAGACCGTAGAACTCATGTCTCAAGCCGCGTTTACATTGTAGATGTCTATGAGCTCCGGTAACCAGCTAACACCAGGTGGGCCGTGAACACGTCTACCAATTTTTCAGTAAAATTTTTTTAGTGAAAATCTAGACTAATGTACCAAATTGGAACATTGGAAATAGTGTAGACAGGATCGTCTTCAGTGGCGTGCAGTCAGAGAAGCCTATGTCCAGCAGTAGACTCCTATAGGCTATGATGATGATGATGAAGAATATTTGGTAAAGATTGCCAGTATGAGTAACTTTGTTTTCGTTTGACGTACCATTTCAGTTTTCTTAAGGACTACCTATCTACAAATCAATACGGAGGAATGCAAACAGACCGTTGTCTCGTTTTATCTGATGCGTCACGCGTTCAAATTTCAGGGCTACGTGAGCGAGATAGAGAGTCTACGAGCCCAGCTGATGGAGACGACGGCGATGTACGAGGCGAGCCGGCGCCGCGAGCAGATGACGTCACGCACCCGCCACGAGTCCGCGCACGACCCCGCCGCCGTCATCGACGAGGCCAAGCGGGAACTGTACAAGGTAAGGTTTTATGATATGATTTATTTAATTGTTTTATTAAAAAAAGGCTATACTATAGTATAGAGGATTACGCGAGATTTACGCGGAAAAAAAAACCTCACACACAAACACACACACACACGCACGCACGCACGCGCTAACCCACTCACGCATAAACACACTCACGCATAAACACACTCACGCATAAACACACTCACGCGCCCACATACACGCACTCACTCAAACACATAAACACGCACACACGCAAGCACGTTCGCACGCACTCTCTCACACACACACACACACACACGATTTAAGCACCAGTGCCATATTTTTAACAAAGTCTGTTCTATGAGTCAATGTATCAATATCATTTTACAGGAAAAAGAAATTCTGGCGCGGAGCATGGGCGAACTGGAGTTCCACCGCAAACTGAACATGAGCGACAGTGTGATGAGCAGCGTGGACGATCGGCCCATAGGAGAGAGGGAAAGGGCTGAGGGTGAGAGTGCCGATGACTCCGATCCTTCGGACGGGGAAGCCGATGGAGATGGCACCGATTCCGACGAAGATTCTGAGACTAAAGGTGAGATAAAATTGTCTAGGACCTGTTCTAGTTGTCATCGTGTCTTCATAACTACGGATCTCACAGTTATTTGATTTTCAGGACAACGTGTCCTATCAGCGCAACTGGTAGCCCTCAGCGAGGACATCGATACGAAAGCTCGTCTTATCGAGCAACTAGAGATGTCCCAGCGGCGGCTCACCGCCCTACGGACCCACTACGAACAGAGGCTCGACACGCTGCATCATCAGATCAAGGCCACCAACGAAGAGAAAGATAAAGTCTTGGCTTCTTTAGGTTTGTATTATCTATGGTTTGTAGACATGAGACATTTGAAGTCGCATGGCCTAAAAGATAAGACGTCCGGTGCATTCGTAGCAAGCGATGCACCGGTGTCCGAATCCCGCAGGCGGGTATCTGATTAAGTACGTACTTAACAAATGTTCACGATTTACTTCCACTGTGAAGGAATAACATCGTGTTGTAACAATCAAACCCGCAAAATTATAATTTGTATAATTACCGGTGGTAGGACCTCTTGTGAGTCCGTACAGGTAGGTACCACCACCCTACCTATTTCTGCCGTGAAGCAGTAATGCATTTCGGTTTGAAAGGCGGGCCAGCCTTTGTAACTATACTGAGATTTTAGAACATATATCTCAAGGTGGGTGGCGGCGTTTACGTTGTAGATGTTTATGGGCTTTAACTCCAGGCGGGCCGTGACCTAGTCCACCTACCTAAGCTATAAAAGGCATGAGGTCATACCGGAGCTCCGCCCACAGCCGCGCAAGCGTCTCCGGCGAGCGAGAAGGTGAAGCGTGTCCGCGAGGAGTACGAACGGCGCGTGGCGGGCATGGCGCGCGAGCTGCGGCGCCTGCACGCCGCGCACCGCGACCACGCGCGGCTGCAGCGGGCGCAGGCGCACACCGCCGCGCAGATCTCCACGCTCAGGAGCGAACTGCAGAACATGAAGAGGGACAAGGTCGGTACCGCAAGTGACAACCCTACGCTGTAATAAACTCTGCACTGACAACCCTACCCAATAACTTTAATGACAATCTTAAGACTTTTTGGCGGGAACGCGAGGAGTAAAGTTGTGCGATTTGTTTTATTTTAAATGTGTAATAAATATCTGTGAAAGTGCACAAATGCGGGAAAATCAAACAAAGCCGCTGAACGTAACTTCTCGAGATTCTCCAAAAAGTCCACTGAAAAAGGCTCAGTAAATGACCACCATTTTACTGAGAATATTTCATCTCATCTCGTTTCATTTAATTTCATTCCAGTTGATTAATGTCTCAAATTAATCATTTTATTATTCATTTTATTTCACTCCACATTATCATTTTTCATAAAAATAAGAATATAAATTAAAATAAGACATGACTTAAAGGTCTTAGTTACCAGGTCATAAAATCCTTTAAAAACAAATTCTATCTATCTATCTATCTATTTGTACCTATAATGAAGGGGTGACGTAGTTTTTTGTTTTAATCTGTAATATTAGTAAATATGATTTCTAATACAAACCAGTGTCCCATTAATCCCGAAACTAAGGCCTGCTATGCGATACGATCCGATGCAATATCCTCATACAACACGCCAAGGATTATATATGCTTAAAAACTGTTAGGCAACAATACATCGAGTTTTATACTGACGTAATATCTCTATGTTATTGTATTTCGACTAACATAGGCACTGTTAGGATAAACTTATAATACAAACTTATTATTTTTTGTCAGGTAAAATTAGTCCAACAAATGCGTGCTGAGGCCAAACGACACGCTCAAGCCGAAGCCGTTAGGGCTAAAGAGGTAAGATTTTAAAGTCATTTTACGAAGAAAAAATAAAAGTGTGTTACTCTGTTATATAAATGTAAAATTTGTTTTAGGTCGCTCAACTGCGCAAGGAATCACGTAAAAATGCAAATCTCATCAGATCTCTGGAGGCTGAAACGAAACTCAAAGAACAGGTAAAAACAATACTTTAAGAATAGTTTAAGTAAGAAATATGTACCTAAGATGCAATACTAAATATTTTGAAAAAATAATAATTATAGGTATTGAAACGGAAACAAGAGGAAGTGTCTCTATTGAGACGGGGACATCGCGATAAGTTAAGCAATCGAGCCGCCGGGCGACTGTACGGTGCGTGGGTGTTTCATATTTGTCGGTATTTTAATACGCTTTTATTAGCCTCAGACGTATGTATGTATGTAGTGTGTAACGGAATCTTTGAACATGATTTTGACCCCCTTCAAAACGTCGGATTAACTCGAAATTTGGTATACTTAACAAGGACCGATGACAATTCTATATAAAAAAAAATGAAAAATTTAAATTCAACTAATAAATGAAAAATATATAATAGATTAAAAAAACTAACTTTTATATAAAATCCAACTAAAAAATAAATTTTAATAAATTTGAATTAAAAATAGTGTAAGAAAAAATGATTTTATTGTAAAAAAAGCATGGGGTGCATGGTATCAGTAGTTATAAATATGTTATGAACAGATATCGCACCATTCGTGGAAAAAGGTCGCAAGTGAAAAACTCGAACTTTTCAGGAACGTAAAAAAACTGTTTTGTTAAGAAATGGTAAATCATAGATGAAAATGTTCTTAAGAGACTACATGGATAAAGTTAAGCTGCATATATATCTGTTATTGATTTAAAACAATTTTGAGTAGTTTTCGAAATAATTTGCAATTAATCTGTTACGTCTTTAATCCCCGTCATGTTATTATGACTTTTAGGAATAAGTAAAGTAACCGCTTTGTTGCTACGGTGTTCACACGGATCATAGCTTCGTAATTTTACTTACGTATTTCTTGCCGACAAAATTGACCTAGCTTAGGTATGTGTATAAAAAAATACGCCTTTGTTGCGGAAGAATTAAAATAGAAATAAAAATAGTAAATAAATTTATGTTTTTATTACAAGTTTAATAATAAAATAAATATGTCTGTATCACTAACAACTTACTTATTCTACTCTGACAGAAAACGTTAAAATATATTTAATAAATCGTAATTTTTTACTACAACAACATTTATTTGCTATTATTTATGTGAAAATTGAATGCTTAAGGTAGTAATTAAATTTAAATTGTTAATATGAACTTATTGAATGAAATCAACCAGCTTTATTAAACAAAAGGACTTGATAATAATGTTTAAAAGTAAATTAGTCAATAAAATGCTCAAGACGTAATCTTTTATAAAAAGCATGATAATGCGATCGTATATTGTTGCCATAACAAGGACTTATCAAGTCTCTGTTGAAATTTCTAGAAATAGATAGATAGATAGACCATTGTATATCTGCGTTAGTGCCGATAATACTTGGTTACTTTCACTCTGAACCTTTCTCTTCTGCCTTCCCTTTCTGTAATTTGCATTGGTATTATTCATAAATATTATATTTCATATTAATAATTATAGGATTTTGGAGATCAGCAAATAATCGTTTTATTTTAGACCACAAAACTTTGTTGCCAGCGGTATCCTCATATCAGTTTTTAGCAAGTTCAACTAATCGTTTATAGTTAAAGAAATTCTCTTGTATCATGTGTTTCACAATACATACTTCTTCATATTTACTTTCGCATTGCGAACGATTGAGTGCCTTTCGTCTGGTGCATAATAAACTTGTTTTTTTTTTGTTCCTACATGCTGCATCGAGTCTGCTTCATTCTGAGAATGAGATTTTTTTAAAAAGCCGTGGATAATTTTTACTTGCAACATCCATATATACATATATAGTGCAAAACTAAATAGTTTCGGTTTTATCCTGAACAATTCTCCGAATAGAACGATATTTTTCTGATACCCCTCGATGCTTCATTTTGTAAAAAAATCCATAGACATCTATTTCATTGGCTTCCCCTTTCGCAATTTCAGCAAGCCGCATATAGCAATAACCACCTTTAGTTAAAATATGATCAACAGTGAAATTTTATACTGGGTATTTTGTTTGCTTGCGAAAAACTCCGACCTCCGATTGATGTAAATTTTTTTTCTAAATCAAGTTTGCTACTGGTTTTTCTTTTGAAATAGCTTTTTCTTTTTCTGTCCTTTTTATATCCTGTACAATTTTTGTCCTTTAAATAATTCTCGTATTCGTATTTCAATTGCTTTTTCTTTTTATCATCCTCTTATACACCTTCATGTAACGCATAAAAAAAATTTAGGGTAGAAAAATCAGATATTGAATCTTGTGTTGAAAATAGAGCAAGTGTCTATTGTTATAGTGTTGCTGACTTAACATTTTGAAAGAGTTGTTGATCTTTTGTCCAATTTAGATATAAACACTTTTAGCATAAGTAAGCTTTACGTCCAAATTTTCTCTTTGAGTTTCTAGGAAATTGATTTATATGATCAATAAAGCTTTTTATTTAAATCATCTACTTTTTTAGGCCGGTCAGAATGACATCCTCGTAAATCTTTCACTGACTCCATCTCTTATTCATCAAGCTGTGTAGACAATTTTATCATTTAAATCCAAATTCTGTATAAACGTATTTTCGCAAATAGTTACTACATTTTCAGTTTTTAAACTTTTTGGGAAATTATATTCCAAAGTCTATGCTATTATTCTTTTCGAATCTACCAGTGTCATACGTTTAGGCTTAGATTTTACAAATCTTATAATAAATACAATTCTATTGACGCTCAGAATTTCCCAAATATCAATAATAGTTGAAAATAACAATCCTTTTAAATTTATCTATTTATTCGTTACGCTTTTTTCTTTTATCTACATGGATCTCCCGTAACTTTTTCTCTTCTCTTTTCCATTAACGGTATGATTTACCAAAATTTTTGAATATTTTACTTCTTCACCTGCCAGGAACTTTTATCTCGCATTCTTTTTTAATTCTTTTCATTGCTATTTGATTATTTTTATGGGTAAACTACGATGCGATGAAATTTATATCATTGGCAGTTTAAATAGAGTTTTCTTTTCCACTGACTTTGTCCTCCGCTAATTCTAAAACATTTGCATTATGCGATTGTGTTTCTTTTGATCGAGGTTCTTTGGTTGATTCTGTATAAAAGTTTATAGTTTCCGACAAAGTTGCTAATACGGAATCACATTGTCTAGTTCCACTGTTCTGTACTGTATTACTTAAACTAGTTTATGGTCCATCGTCATAAGAAGAAGAACATTCCTTTGAGACTTTATTTAGATTTAATACCATCTTCAGTAAAACTCATTGACATGTCATGCATGCGCATGCGCATCAAGTCATTTACGTTTTTTTCAATAATATCCATAACTTTACTTCTGCAGTACAGTTTGCAGGAGTATCGTATTTAACTTCGCGTAAAAAAATGGTACACATACGTTTAGATCAATGATAGTTAACTAGATAGCGGCATGCTCGTGAGAACTATTCAGCTAGTGCCCATGCACCACTCTCGTGCGTGATAGATTTAAAAACAAACAAGAAATTTCGTGATACAAATTTTTGTATAATCAAATTTCGCAAAAAATAAGTAAATATTAAGTATGTAGTGTGGTTTATCCAACTGATATGCTAATGTTTTTGTTTTTAATTATAATTACGTTACGAAATATTTTCAAAATATACAGTATAAAATTAGGTATTTTCATTTAAAAATTAAAATCCATCGAAATTTATCATAGAAGAAGCGAGCTTATAATATTACGTATGAATGATTCGCAAAAAGTCACGTAAAAAAAACACGTAACTTAACTTGCGCACTTCACATCTTCATCAAATATCGTGGCAAAAGTGTGCATGTTCATTTATGCACGTATATTTTAATAAAATTGTGTATAAGTAACAATAAGCTTTTATTGATAGGGAAAGTTTCAGAAATGACCAAATATAACAAAAATTACGTAAATAATAAGGCGAATCATTTAAAAAACAAAAATCTTAGCATTTCGCAAATTTTGCGATATCTCCGTCATTTTTTGGAATATATTTTTCAAACTTGTTGAGCACATGTGTCATGGTCTCCTTTAACGAATAGTGAAATAATAAAAAAATTGAAGTAATTGTACTTGCGACTTTCTTCTACCAATGGTGCGATATGAGTATAAGGGTTATTTTGATAATATCCTGAAAAGCACCATACGCTTTTATACATTAAAATCATTTTTTATTACACTATTTTTAATTCAAATTTATTAAAATTTATTTTCTATTTTTTAGTTGGATTTTCTGTAAAAGCAAATTTTGTTAGTTTTTTTAAACTATTATTTATTGTTATAATTGTGTGTGTTTGTGTATTGAAAACATCAAAAATCCAGGAGGGGTCCGCGGTCACAGCCGCAAGTCGGTCCGCGAGAGCTGGGCGCGGCTGGAGCGGTGGGTCGCCCGCACCAGCGCCGCGCGCCTCACGCTGTGGGAGCTGGAGGCTGCGCTGGACCGCCTGCTGCGGCAGCGCGCGGCGGCGCAGCGGGCGGCGCACGACGGCGACGCCGCCTCGCTGCACGCCTACCTGCGCGACGCCATCGCCGACACGCAGGCGCAGATCATGCAGATCGAGGTGCGTCCAAGTGATGCGTCTGGGAACAGCAGTCCTGAGCCCCACGGACGTTTTTTTTTTTATTGCCCTTGTAGGCAGACGAGCGCACGGCCCACCTAATGGTGAGTGGTTACCGTCGCCCATGGACTTCAGCAATGCCAGGGGCAGAGCCAAGTCGCTGCCTACCGAACAAGCCACTGCCTACCGCCAAGCCGCTGCCTACCGTTTTTTTATTGCTTAGATCAGTGGACGAGCTCACGGCCCACCTGGTGTTAAGTGGTTACTGGAGCCCATAGACATGTACAACGTAAATACCGCCACCCACCTTGAAATATAAATTCTAAGGTCTTAGTATAGTTACAACGGCTACCCCACCTTTCAAACCGAAACGCATTATTGCTTCACGGCAGAAATAGGCAGGGCGGTGGTACCTACCCGCGCGGACTCACAAGAGGTCCTACCACCAGTGATTACGCAAATTATAATTTTGAGGGTTTAATTTTTATTACACGATATTATTCCTTCACCGTGGAAGTCAACCATGAACATTTGTTAAATACGTAATTCATTAGAAAAATTGGTACCCGCCAGCGAGATTTAAACACTAGTGCATTGCTCAACACGAATGCACCGGACGTCTTATCCTTTAGGCCGCGATGACTTCAGACTATCCACGGCGAACTAAGTTAAATGTGTGTAATAGGAAGAAAACGACGAGAACGAACTGTCCCGGATACTGGAGCAGGTGGACAGCGCGGAGGCGGGCCGGTACGCGCTGGAGCGGCTGGCGGCGTGCGCGCTGCAGCACGCGCAGGACGCCGCCAGGAACCTCAAGCTGCTCAACGACACGCGCGCGCACCTCAAAGAAGTTAGTATCGATACTGACTGGCGCCGACGGACCGGCCCCCGGATCGGATGCCGTAGCCATCAGGTGCCGCCGACCGACTTGATCTTTAGTCTTGTTTAGATAAAAAATACACGATAAAAGTGAAACTCATAAATAAGATATAAGTATACTGCCTATCCCACTATAGTAGAATTATTTTGTCCCTGCAGCTTAGGTCATAAAAAATCGGAGCGGTGAAGTGAGTATTTCGCTCTCTCTTCCACTCACGAGCCTTATGGAGGGGCATAGTGATGCGCATTATTGTTGTCGATAAGCGTTATCGATAGTGTATTTAGTTTTGTCATTTTGCGATTTAATGATAAAAATGATAGAAAACATCACTAATCGAACACTTACACCACATATCGCCGGAGCAAGTTAACGAGAACGGCAGAAATTAACACTTTGTAACTTTTCGGGATCTGTTCTTATTTCAGTGAAATTTTTGAACACATCGTTGATTACAACACGTGCAAATATTATTTTGAATAAATTCTGCCGTTTTGATACAAAACAAAGGAGTAGCCATTGTGTCACTAAAGAAATGCAGAGAACGAATGCATAAAAACGTATTTCTCTTCGACATAATATACTATAATTTGCAGGTAAGTACAAACGACTTATAACATAACAATGTCTCACCACCCTTCGTATACCACCCCGTCGCCGTGTACTTCCCTTCGATGACTTATTTGTTTTTATCGATAATGGCGTTGCGCCCGCGCAACATGCTCACCGTCCTAGCCGGACTATGTTTTATGACCCAAACTGCACGGACAAAATAATTCTACTATACACAGGAGCACACATATCGACGCTTGAAAAGCAAACGTGACTAAGCGACAATGCGTGAACTTTACAGTAAACTAATTTAAAGTTGAAATACCTGAAAAAAAATCTATTTTAATGAATCTAGCTGTAGGATTGACCTAGAAATATATTTTTTTTGCGCATCGAATATGGTTATTGCCTATCATTTATGTATAAAGCAGTTATTGTCGCTTAGTCACGTTTGCCTTTCAAGCGTCGATATGGACAATGTTTAGTAGACGGTAATGGGGATGCTACGAAGAGTCGCACAAAGAGGAGATAGAGAACGTCTAAAGTGTTTTATCTCATTCTCTCGCCGGCTGAATCCTATACATTTGTGTGTTTGTGTCCCTATGGACTTATTTTTTCGTTACATCGAGTTTAAAATCACAACGATTCTAAAGAAGTTTCACTTCAATAAAGATTTTTTCTGTGACTGATTTGATTCTTGCGGGAACAGTTGGAAGAGAGCCAAGAGCGAGCCGCCAGCGCCCTCCGGGCGGCGGAGGAGCAGAACCTCACGAGCTGGAGCTGCGGCACCGCGCTGGCCCACCTGCTGGCGCACGTCTCCTCCGGTACATCCACCAGATCGGTCTCGCCGGTCGACAGGTAATTTACATACAAATATTTTCATTGCCAAAAACACGTATGAAAAATTCGGTACTAACGAGATCTCACGAAAGAGCTCCACAATTAAACAATGACATCGTGTAATAATAATAATACTAATGCGTATGTAACGTAAGTACGTTATCATACTTTTTTCGCAGACCAGTTTGCTGGTAGCCTAGGGGGCTATTTCAGCTACGCCCGGACCCGTACTTGGACAAATACTACTATTACTTTACTACTGCTACTACTACTTTACTATTGAATATTAGTGATTAATATTCTTTGTTATATAATATGTAACAAAATAATAAACTTTCTTTACTTGAGTTTTATTTTAATTTTACATTGCAACGTTGAGTTGTTAAATTTAAGTAATGTATCAATAGTTCAATATTGGAATCGAAGCCCAACACGAACGGCACCAGGGAGTCTGCGACGGCGCCCACCTCGCCGCCCGACGACAACGTCAATTCGCCCTTCCAAAGAAATACGTAAGAACGATCAAACCGCTTTATAGATTTAAACCAGGGGTTCGTAAACTTATTTTGTCTACTGCCCACTTTGAGAATAAATTCTTTTTTAGCGCCCCAATTTTCTCACCTACTTAAAAACCACTCTAGCGAAAGCTCAGTAGGTGTGAAATTACAAATCGCCTTCCAAGCCTTTACACAACGCACTCTTTTTTTTCTGGGTCTCTTACCGCCCCCCTTTAAGCCTGCAGCGCCCAAAAGGGGGCGTTATCGCCCACTTTGAGAAAGGCTGTTTTAAACTATCAATCCTAAAGAATGAATATTTTATAACAACGTTGCAGGGTACGTCGCGGCTCGGTGCGTCTCCGCGACCTGGGCGTCATCGCCAGAGAGGACGGCGACGACCCCATGACGCAGTCGCTGGTGGAGCCCACCTCGCCCCGCCCCGCGCCCCTCAGCCGCGTGCCCAGCGCCCCCGGCAGTCTGAGGTATACACGACGCATATCTATATATATAAAAATGAATTGCTGTTCGTTAGTCTCGCTAAAACTCGAGAACGGCTGGACCGATTTGGCTAATTTTGGTCTTGAATTATTTGTGGAAGTCCAGAGAAGGTTTAAAAGGTAGATAAATTGGAAAATGCTTAGAATTAAATAAAAATGACAATTTTGTTTTTCCTTTGATGTGTCCCCCGTCAGACGGATTCCTTTTGTTTGTTTTAAGTTTATTTTATACAAAAGATTAGGTCTCTTATTTATCGATTGAGGCACTACGAAGTTTGCCTGGTCAGCTAGTATTTTATAATATAATTAAAATATGTAGATATTCCATCACTGATATACCACAACGTGATTTCCACTAATATTTTTTAATTGTTAATGAATTTGCTAATTAATATCAAAATAATAATAGTTTACGTCACACTAACGCCATCTAGTGATTAAAATATATACTAACATAGTAGTGTACTTTGAACAGTAAAACGTACAACGTCTTGTGCACAGATAGGTACCGCCACCCTGCCTATTTCTGTCGTGAAGCAGTAATGCGTTTCGGTTTGAAAGGTGAGACAGACGTTGTAATATAGAACTGAGACTTAGAACAAATGTCTCAAGGTGGGTGGCAGCATTTACGTTGTAGATGTCTATGGGCTTCGGAAACCATTTCACACTGGGTGGAAATAATAACGATTATGATCCCGAAGCTATGCCTCTGCTGGCAATGTACGTGAGACTGTTGTGTGACTCCCGCAGAGGTCTTCAGCCGGTGTCCTCTCCGCTATCCCCCCGCCGACCTCCGCCCCCCGAAAGCCCCCGGCCCCCGCGACGCGTCACCACGTACACACTCGCCAAGCCAGCCTCATTGTATGTACACTTTTTGTTAAATATACCTCCTAGAATAATCTGTTTTCTTATCAATGTGCACGTCACGTTGACGTCTATCAACAATGACACGTGGATACGTCACTTTTATTTTGATACTTCATTTGGCGTAGCGTATCTGAGTAACGATGTGCATGATTTTAGATTGAAATATTTGTTATTTAAAATAAGTAAATTGATATATCACATCTCTAGAATTGAAGCGACTTAAATAAAAAATTTATACTTTGAGTGACTTATAAACAGATACTCTATCAGTTTATAAAATTAAAATTGAAATTCATATTTTAATTACAAAAGAACAAAGTACACTTTGCATCTCTTTTAAATCAAGCGCATACTTTAAGCTTTAAGATGTGCGCTTTAAGGCTTAAAGTATTCAAATCGAAATTGAAAACTTACAATTTTTCAATTACATTTTTGACGTTTACCAAAAAAACAAGAACTTTGTATTAAGTCACTTCAACTCTAATTGTGCGGACTATAAATTTATGTTAAAGGTTTATAACTGAACGCGTTTTAATTCTTGCAAAACAAATTATTACAGATGAATAACTACTCCAGTACATCGTTGCTTTTTGTATATATATAGTTACAGGAATGCACCACGCCAAATTAAATATTTTTGAAAATGTTTTACATTGATTACTATTAGCCATATACTGATTTATATGTACTACGATTAACTCCCAAAATATATTATTTCTGTGGCTTTGCCATTAGACAAATAATGTGGTCATTAAATAAAATTTTGCACTAGTTTAATAACAAAAAAATCAGTATTTGTTAAGACTTTAAATATTTGATAGCTTATCAATAAAACATTTTCAAATTGGATTTTGTTCAAAAATATCAATTGCAAATTGCAAGTTAGATATACGTTTAATTTAAAGTATTGACTATGGGCACAGTTACTATAGACATTAGAATATTGCTTGAGTAGTTGGTCTCGCTCGCACCCGTACCGCCGCTATCTTGCCGTCTCTGTCTGCATGAAACAGCTTTGGGTTTTAATGTGCAATGTAGATAGATGGTAGATGGTTTTAATGTTTATACAAAATTATTTGTGGAATAATAATGATGTTTACGTACACGTGCTTGTGTATAAATGAGTTTCCGATGGAGTTGAAATCGCGAGGAAAAAATTGTATTATTATTTCATTTTGTTGATTATAATAATAGGCAGAGTGTAAAGAGCGCTTCAGAAATCTAAAAGACAATTTTATTTTATTTTATTGCTTAGATGGGTGGACGAGCTCACAGCCCACCTGGTGGATTGTAGATGTCTATGAAGACATCTACAATGTAAATCCGCCAACAACCTTGAGATATAAGTTCTAGGGTCTCAGTATAGTTATAACGGCTGCCCCATCCTTCAAGCCGAATATAAGAAAATCCAAATTTAATAAAAAAAAAATAATTTGTGAGACCAAACGAATATATTGATCGATTTCCTATCGGTCCTACGAAATGTTGATTTAGAAAGTTAAAATTTCTTGAGAATTTCTTTCTGGCGTCTAGTTAATACCTCACTTCAGTTAAGACATCGCGAGTCGATCTGCTGTAAGGGATTCCGGAGTCTATAGATATCAGAACATGTCGACATCCACCTTGGAAGATGAGGTTAAAATCTAGGTATAAGGCTTGCCCCACACTTTAAACTGCCCAACCTTAAGTAAATAACTAATATTTTTTAACATTATCAGCATCGTCAGCATTGCCTAGTAGTATGAATTTTCGTTAGCACAAGTACCCACCTATACCCTATGGGTCAGTTGAAATTCAGTTATAGATGTATGTATTTGCAAAAACGCTTCCACAAATCATTTTGTATAAATGTAGTATTTAGTTTTTACAAAGCTTATCGTGTGTGCAAATATCAAAATAATATTATTTCATTATTAAGTATATTCGTTAGAATCGTAATGAGACTTTAAAAAAAGACAACATTATAAGAATGCGTCTTGTTAATTCAATAAAATGCTCTCTGCAAATAGAGGTTTTCATAACAAAATGACTTTGCAAAACAGGATAAAATTAAATGTGACCGTACATAAATTTTAGGCAAAATTGTCGATACCATAGAAAAAATATCTATAATTGTATAGGCTGAAGGCTGAAAATTGCACACTCGATCAGCTGTCGCGGCGGTAGGGTACGGGTTCTGACCCGTGTCGGTTGCTTGCAGCCTGCTGACCGACCTCTCCATAGTCGAGGATTGAACACGTTCTGACTATCGATACAGGATCGACACCAAGGAACACGAAACGCCCACAAAATCACGCCCATTTTGGATAATTTTACGACATATAACACGGTATTGTCTAGCTACAGTCATATACAACAATCTGTTCTTGTTAAATATCCATGACGTTTTATTTTAACTCATTGTGCGAGAACCGTCGATTGATCGACGCTATATTAATGCGTATAAAGTGCGGAGTGTCACAATACCGATTATTGCGCAGTTTCAATATAGGTTTCGACCTGTATGGACGTGTCTTAGCGCGCGCACGTATAACATTTTTAATAAATTAATAACATTTATAAATAACCATATAAAATTATTTTATTGTGATGATGATGCTAAAGCATTGATTTTTGTATTTTTTTAAAGTTAAACTTGCTTTTAGATTTTTTTTTAATATTTAGCAATTTCTGCAAAATATGTGAATAATATAAGCTCAGCACTAAAAGGGTTGAAGTCAACCGCCGATGTGGCGGTAACAATCTATGCAGTATGTAAAAATCGATACTGGAGCGCGCAGGATTTGATTAATTAAAGGCTTTTTTTCTGAAATTCGTTTAAAATCTTTTGAGTTGAAAAAGGATTAAGCAAGAACTATTTATCGTTCAAAAAATTCACGTATGTGAAATTTGAAAATTAATTGAAATGAAAATGATTCATTTCTAAATGAAAATTTTGTAAATAAACAATTCAATGTTCTATAGTTATAGTAGTGATAGTTTTATAGTAATTATGTAGATTTAGTTACGGGTATCGGGCCAAATACAGCTTAAAATAAAAGCCGTGCGTAATTTAGATGTATTATGAAGCTAATCATTTAATCCCAAAGATACACAAAGCTATCTGTATAGTTATTCCAGTCAAAGCATATGACGTGACTAACAAATTAATTGTAAATATAAACAATATTATGTATATAGTTTATTTAAAAGCTAATTTCTATGGCACAAAGTAATAGATAGATATGTGCCTTGGTGCTAGAAGAGTTCTCAATAAATGTGTTACGTTAATTTTTATTTAGTTCAGAAATTTTCATCCCCATATTGAACAATCCACAATTGCCTATGTCCAGCAGTGGACGACTGTGGGCTGTTGATGATGATGATGATGATGATATTGAACAAGTCTAACACATTATTATTTGTGTCCTATTATTTTGGTTTCGAACAAATAAATATCTTACTTCTTAGTACTTTTGAAGTACAATCTCAATTTTTTTCAAACTAATCTGCAGTTCTTTATGATTTTTTTTCTCAGCATCGCTATCTAGAAATGTTTGTCTCAAAATGTTTTTTTCTAAAAATTTAAACAAAGAATAAGATCGTGATAGAATAAAATTTATTTATGAATGTTTTTAAATTATTTAAATCTTTATTCGAGAACTTTTAATTAACGTTACAATACGTGGGCGCGTGTCGTAACTTCCAAATGTTTATAGGTAAGTGTTATTTATAGTGTGTCACAAAATTATATTTAAGCATTAACTTGGACGAATCTGTTGTGAGTTTAGCAATTCGATACCAATTTTCTGATTGCGTATTGGCATCTCCACATATTTTTCAGAAAAGAATATGATAATATAAAGTTACAGTAGACATTGACACTGTTAAGGATTTAACCGGTCGCGGTGTTTGCTCATTTGTATAATACGTGTTACATACCTAATTAAAGCAGTTAGTATTTTGTTCGGTCTTGACGAATAACTTCGTAGAAATAATTAAATATACTTTTAAAGGTTTAATCTCGCGTGTTTTTTGACTGTCATTATATTATTAGAAAAGATTTGATCAAGTTGAACGTAAAAGCTATAAATATTTTTTTTTTATAATAAGAGACGGTAGCTAACACGATCTATCACGAAAACTGTAAAGTGTTTGAGACGTCAGTTAAAATGACAATAAAAAACACCAGACTAAAATCGTAAAAAGTAGTTTTAATTATTAAAACAATCGTATAATTCGAAGGTTAAAACTATGTTTGGTTTAAGAGAGATTTCGCTTAATACACGACATTAATTATCTTTGTAATTAAAGGTCCTTTTCATTTGGTATTAGCATCAAAAGATTTTAATTCAGTTTACCCCGTTCAAATTGAAGAAGCTTTTTTGCTATGATAGTTTTTCCAAACTTTAAATGGCTCTCCTGTAAAGTTTCGAAAAGTTCGCTTAAACCAAATAACCTTCACGTCTCGAATTATTAAAAAAAGTACAGATGTAGGCCCATATGCACCAATGGATTAGGGATGATCGATATTCATCGATGCTTATTCAACATAGCTGGAAAACATCGATGTTTTGGTTTCGATAACATCGACACATCGATGTTAAGAGAATAAAATATCTAATTATCGAAACGTCCATATATCTTTAAGGTCATCTAACGGTGGATGTACTTTCTAGCCAGTGAGACCCTAGGTAGTACAACTATTTTAAACCAGATGACACTGGTTAACGTAATCGATGTAGGCCGTACTGCTTAAATGGGTGTGAAATTAAGAAAATGTAAATTGTGCTGTGTGGTGTCGGATTCAAGTCCAATAATTAAACGCCCGCTTAAAATCCGTAAAACGTAGTTTTAATTAATTAACACGTATAATAAATAAAATAGACAGTTTTATTTCATACCAAAAACATCGATGTTTATCGGACATCGATACTTTTAAATCGATGTCAATATCGATGTTTTTCTAATATCGATCATCCCTACAATGGATGTCACACAGATAATATGAACTATTTGGTCTCGAATTGATAAAAAAACAACGTCCAATAGGCAGCTTTATTAAGTACAAGTAGAAAAATGTCAACGAAATGCACACTGTTATTAAAGTTATTAAAGTGTTGGAATAAAGCTTGTGTTTGTTTGCATGACGCACCCCACTGATACTAATGCATGTTGCAATTGCATTTTTAATTGTTCTGCTATTAGTTTTAGTTTTACGAATATGTATATAAGTTATACGGTGAGGTATGTATGTTTCGTTTATTTGTCTCAAAAATGTCGTATAAAAAATTATGTGTTAAAAACAAAAAATGAAAAGGTTTTTGCCATTTGTACTAATACCCTATCTTCGTACGTATTAAAGATTTTGTTGAAAAAATGAGTTATATATGTACGTGCGACTGAAATATTGGAGATAAAAAATCCATGATTCATTAATAATTGAATGACAATATAGCAAGGGAATATATAGTATTGTGTTTACAGTGAAGACTATGGAACCGTGTAAGTAAATTGTTTTGTGTTGTTGTCATCGTTCGCGTGGGGCCATTTCATTTCAGCCGTCGTTTCATTACATGAGACGTTAACATGACCACGTCCACACAATACATCGTTCATAACTTAATTCATTATCGCTAAAGTACTGAATGAAAATTTTATAGTTCATCAAAGGCAAGACCTCCTAATAATCTATCGTTAAACACGCGAAAATAGCTAAAAAATAATTAATATACAATAAAAAATCATTTACATTAAATTTCTAAAACATAAAAATAATAATATTGTACATCAAATGCAGAGCGGATGGAGCAGCGAAACTTATTTACGTGATAAATTAATTTTAATATAAACAAGATTGTGCTTTATTTGAAATTGAATTTTATTAATATGGGCCGTGCAACTTACTGTACATATTGTACTGGTGGTAGGACCTCTTGTGAGTCCGCTTGTGTATAGGTACCACCACCCTGCGCATTTCTGCCGTGAAGCAATAATGCGTTTCGGTTTGAAGGGTGGTGCAGCCGTTGTAACTATACTTGAGACCTTAGAACTTATGTCTCAAGGTGGGTGGCGCATTTAAGTTATAGATGTCTATGGGCTCCAGTAACCACTTAAAATCAGGTGGACTGTGAGCTCGTCCACCCATCTAAGCAATAAAAAAAACTACACATTCAATGCAAATTCGATGTCGTAACTATCTCAATAAACTTAGGTATATAGTATTAGTAGGGTATACAAGTTGTTCGCACTATCTAAATAAATGATTAAACAAGATCTTGGTATCTTCAACATCAGTTACCCGTTGACCACGTAAACTGTAAATTATTCGAAACGTCTAGAAAATTATCTTATACCTTTAAACGAGCAATTCTTGTATATATATATATATATAATCTGAATTTCGGAAACGGCTCCAACGATTTTCATAAAATTTACTATACAGGGGATTTCGGGGCGATAAATCGATCTAGGTACGATTTATTTCCAGAAAATGTTGTTTTATTCGTGTTTTCAATAATCAACTCTTCCCGACTTCTATTGGCGAATAATAATACTATTTTTCTTAATTGAGCGCAACTAACCGCTTTAAAGACACAACAAGATGGCGTTATCAAAAAAAAAACCGAGCAAAGCTTGGTCATCATCTAGTAATGAAAATAACAGACGCGATATTAAAACTTAAAATTAGTTTAATTATGGCCACGAATCGCGCGAACTGAAAAACAAATGGGTATAAAACTTGTTAAAATATAATGCTAAAATAATTGTCATATTTTCGCTGTCACGTCTGTCTCCCGTTCACATATTAATATATCATTCATGGGCTTATACCCGCCTTCGCTTGTTTACCGCTTGGTGTTGCCACTGACAGAGAGCCGGCAAGCACGCCGCCCGCGTCTCCGGGGGCCACGAGACGCGCGAGGGACGACGACGTGTTCTTGCGACTAGCGGGCGCCGGACACGATAACTCGCCCCAAGGAATCGTCAAAGAACTTGCAATCAAAGTAAGATATGCATTAGTTTCCTCACAACTTTACCCGTATTCAATTTAAATCTAATCGTAAACCACAAATCGATTTGGCGGAATAATAGCATGAAAGATATAGCGAATAATATAACATAGTTATTCTATCTCTTTACCTCGTATTTCATTGTTTACCTAAGTATCGATGGTATTTTTATCGTTAAATAGTAACTTATCGTGGCCAACACTAGTCAGATATCCGACCCAGGCAAAGCCACCGTTGTCCGAAACATATCCTTTCTAATCTACCGGATCCACTCTCGATACTTTCAGGCTGTTAAGCACTAGAGTGCGAAGAGCTAACTAACCCATAGACACAGCCCACTGAGTTTCTCATCGGATCTTATCAGTGGGTCGCGATTCCGATCCGGTGGTAGATTTAGCGAAGCTGTTGCTAGGGCAAGTGCTGACAAATTCTCTCAGCTTGAGCCCACCTACCTAGCTCACCTACTTGTACGCGCGTAACTGGAATACCCCCTTAGGCTACCAGGTCAGGGAAAAATCGCTTAATCGTGTTTATTACTATGTGGTGTGCAGCGCGTTATCGGTGGAAACACGAGAGCGTGGCTGCAGTGCACACACGTGGCGGAAGGACACGCGGGCGCGGCTCTGGCACTGGCCGCCACAACACACGCTGTGTACAGCGGCGGCGTAGGTGAGCCAAATGTTCCTACAAGTTTCTTTGACTACCCGCAAATAACGTGTTTGTCTTAGCAAAGCTTAAATTTATTTACGTACAAAGCAAAGAAGCTCGAATAATAATTTATTCAAATGGTTGTGTATAAATGAGGGCTTGAATAAATAATTCGTAATATTATTTACATTATAGTATTGGTTTATTTTCAAATTAACATTTTAGATTATGATAATTTTGGTATAAATGTTTATGACGTCCGTATTAAAGTTATTAATGTTTCTTATTACTGCGTTGTGTTGCTTTACTATTTTGTACGATTTGTCTGTATATTCGAATACGCAATGGCGCGTAGTTTCAGCGCATCGTTGGAGGGTATTTAGAGATTTCCTTGGGTAAATAGTATAGTGTGTATTATATATTTTTTTCTTTTTTTTATAATTTTAAATAAAACCACAATATGTTGCTCGTTACAATAACGAAACAACATTTAAAGTGTTTTTCTTTGTAATTTATTTCGGACGTGGCAAAATTCGTATTAAAGACAACACTTTCTTTACAGTGTTAGATATTATAACATTAAACAAGCGATAACAGGTTTGTTCGTTATTAAGATCGCACGGTCCGTGGCTGGGACCTGTCCGTGGGCAGCGAGGCGTGGCGCGGCTGGTGCGGCGGCGCGGTGTCGTCGCTGGCGGCCGGCACCGCCGCGGACGGGGGCAGGCTGCTCCTCGCCGCCGCCGGGCCCGCCGTCAGGCTCTTCGACACCCGGACTAGGACACCGCTCACTACGCTCTGGTGTGTACTCTCTTTAACTTATTGTTACGCGTTGGGGTTCGAGATAAATAAAATTCCACCAAAGTGCAACTGAAAACTGTATTCAACACTTAAAACACTCAACAAACACTTTAAAACTCTTAATTCGCTTCAGGTGATCCGTTCGCTGTTTCGCTTCGAGTAGTTCTGATTACTAACTGACTGCGTGCCATCCCTGTAACGCTTTTATAGTCCATACCACATCCCTACAATTATGGAGAATATTTCACACATCTCTAGTATTTTGTTTCCGCTATTTGACAATAGATGGTTTTGTACTTTTTTTTTAATTGCCTACTTTGGATGGACGAGCTCACGGCCCACCTAGTGTTAAATGGTTACCGGAGCCCATAGACATTTACAACGTGAATGTCGCAATCTAACTTGAGACGTGAGTTGTAAGGTCTCAATTTGAACAGTACATTGTGATGACACGGGCAGGTCGTCGGGCGCGACCGGTCCGTGTCCGGCGGGGCGCGGCGCGGCGGGCGAGGTGCCGGTGACGGCGCTGCGGCTGTGCGCGCCTCACACGCTGTACACCGCCGCGGGGGACAAACTGCGTCTGTGGGACCTGCGCATGTACGTATCCTTTACTGCGGGACGGTATCGACTAGAGATGAGAGGTATATATCTATAGGTATATATCTTTAGACAGATCTAAAGTCCCAGTATGGATTTGGCAGTACCCATACCGGGGTAGTTTTCCAATTACAGCCCTAGAGCGCATTATGCGCATAATGCTCAACGTTGAATGTTCCAACTACAGCAACGCTTCGCTCAATCGAGCACTCTCAAAAGTACTGCCTGTCATTAGATATTTTATTAATGGCTCAAATAACTCATCTGTTTCATTATCATATATATTTTCAGTAAATATATCGCTTGATAATGAAATAATTGATTGATTTAAACTCGGAGCACTCGATAAATCATCGTCATCACTATCATCTGGATAAGATGATTCAATTAAAAAGTATATAATTTTATTAGAACTCATTTAAAAAAATTACTCAAAACGTAAAAAAATTTTAATGAAATAATAAAATCCAAATTACTTAAAATAATCGTAAATAGTTTTCAACCAATTATTATTGTTTACCACATTATTTATACATTAATGGTAGGTTGCTAACTCCATGATATATTTTTTTTCAACACTGAACTTAGCGCCCTCTGCTGATGCATTTGAAAACTAATTCACGTTCCAATTAAGCTTCAGCACAATTCGGCATTGTGTGCCACTGAGTCGCATTATGCTCTGTAATTGGAAAACTACCCGGGTGTGCGGGTATACCGCCCGTACGTGCTGGTCGGGTCTCAAACTCGTTCGACACTTGATAATATGATACTGCGCCGCCAGTGCCGCTTCGTCGCTACGACGCACACTGTATTATTATCGAGATCTAGCAGAACTTAATTCAATCTTGCGTGAATTTATCTTTTTTTAGTTTTACGTGTCATAAAATGTTAATATTAGATGTTATTTCGTATTTCTAAATAAATAAATAACATTAATTATTAATAAAAATCATTTATTTCTTTATTTTCTTTAAAAATATTATTTTTAATACTGCAACTTTGTTCTAAATACACAGGAAATATATTTTACACCCCTAAATATATTCTAAAGACTAAAAAAAATTCGCATAACCTTCTACCCATCGTCCTCCGTCGAGTAAGTTTCTTCTCCCATGTTCTATTTTGCACTGTTGATTTGGAAGATAGAAGTGGATCTGAACCTATCAGAAATCGGTTAAGTATGTCTCGATTGGTGTTAATTCTGCTTGTTTTCCTGCTGAAATACTCGCGATTCCTCCTATATTCCTTATTGTTCGCTTCTTGAGCTTCTTCTGCTAATTGGTCCAAAGGTAAAACGCATGTTTCAATTACTTCTTTTGAGTGTGAGAGGATTTTGTGTATACTAGAAGGCATGTAGTACCAGGAACAATGTACTAAATAAAGTTTTATTGTCTCTTCGGCATATGTCTTGTGCCTCCAAGATAACAGAAATGTTTGATTAAATCCAGATTGATCCCTGTTATTTTCGCTTACATTTCTCCCATTTAGATTGTATTTTTGCTGTAAGACTACTTATTAACATTTGAAGTGATCTTGGAGGGTTTCTACAGTTCTCTATGTATTGATATTGTAGTATTTTTTCAATTATAAGGTTATTTTGACCTTTTTTTTTATTACTTGGAAACCATATATTAAAAATATCTGGCCTTTTCATTGCGCTGAAAACAAAAAAAATGTATGAGCGGGGCAAATAGGAGCAAGGGATTCCAACTAAATTTCAAAGAACATTAACCGTAGAATGCTATAACAGTGATTTCTCGGTATATACACTTGCATACATTTTTAAAAGTCAACACTAATACAAAAAAAAATTTTTTTCAAGGACTACAGCAAAAACTTTATTCATTAATAACATTTCAATATTATAAGGTTCAAACTTACCTTAACGTATCCTCGACGATATAACAAACGATAAAAATGACCGATTATAGCACTTTAAACGACAAGAACAGACCTGTTCGCATCCTGCAATAAAGCAAAACTAAACAATACACTCGTGCTAGTACGCATAAGCTATGTTTCGAGACTTCCCCTGTGTTGTATGGTATTACACACTTATTAATTTTATTTAATATCGGTTATTTAGTTATACACCTGTGTAATAAAGGGAGTTTTAGGAATATTTAGAAGAGTATTATTTTTAATTAAGTTCTGCTAGATCTCGATAATAATACAGTGTGCGACGGCCGTACTTGGTAATGGGTCGCAGGTCGCTCGTCCGCTAACCCGTTAAACTAATATTCATTGTTAATGTGAGCGACATCTAGTGAAAATAGCTGCCTTGCAAATTTAACGCCCTCTATGAATTATCAATATACAATAAGATGTGGTCATTAATTTCAATCACAGAATTATCATGTTTTGAAAACAATATTAAGTCAACTATCTCTAGCTCCATGATTAACTGATTACGTTTATAGAAATATAAGAGAACGGTCCAATGAAAATATAATTTGGCGCCTATAAAATAACTATACTTTTCTAATCGCCTGACATCTATTAATGGGTTTTTACTTTCACTTCCACCGCATTAGCTCATACCTGTAGGTATTTTGATACCGGGTTTATGGACCGGGTATTTAGCGGTACCCATACCTATAAGGCCGAGTATGGAATGTAGGTAGCAGGTATATCTCATGTCTAGTATCGACAGTTGAAAAGCTATTTGGTCTAAGCGACATTTTTGCAACTTTAGCCCGCTGAGTTTTTCGCCGGATCTTCTCAGTGGGTCGCGTTTCCGATCCGGTGGTAGATTCTGCGAAGCACTACTCTTGCTAGGGCCAGTGTTAGCAACACCTGCGGCTTAACCTCCATCAGCTCACCTACACGCTAGGGTAACACTCATATAGTCTCTCAAGGCAATCAGTATATATAGGGGAAAAAAATTGCCACCTTACAGGAGAGCCAGCTTAAAATTTGCATAAAATATGATAAAAAAAACTTCTTTAGCTCTTTGAATGGAATAAACTTAATTGAAGTTCAATTAAAATCAACAAACTGTTGATGCTAATATCAAATAAAACAGACCTTTACAAAGGACGGATTACAAAGATAAATATCGCTTAAACCAAATAGTCTTTCGCCCCTCAATATGTCTGCAGTGACGATGGATGGGTCAATTTCGACCACATAGGACTAGATGGGTCGCAGAATTCATGCTGTGATATCTACAGACTCTGTATTACTGAGGCAAGAAAAGTGATGGTACCTTGATTATAGGATAATAACTTATGTAAGCCAATACTGCGCTCAGTCATAATGTTTACTCTCTAACGCATAATTTAGATAAATTAACGTTTAGGTGGTTTATAAATAGCATGTAAAATGCCCTTAGTTGACCAAATATAATCGACTTGTGTCGTGCGGGTCACAATATTTTTGCATATATGGGTAGACATCTGGTGTTACGAGGTTACCGGAGCCCATAGACATCTATAACGTAAATGCCGCCACCCACCATGAGATATGAGTTATAAGGTCTCAGTATAGTTACCGCCGCCTGTCCCACCCTTTAAACCGAAACGCATTACTGCTTCACGGCAGAAATAGGCGGGGCGGTGGTACATGCGGACTCACAAGAGGTCCTACTACCAGTAAAGCAAAGTAAATTAGTATCCCTGTGCCCGGGACAGGTTGGAGTGCGTGTACAAGATATGGTCGGGCCACGCGGCCGCCGTCATGTGTCTGGCGGCCGCCGATAACTTGCTCGTCACCGGCTCGAAGGACCATTATGTCAGAGCCATGGAGATAAACGCACAAGACTCAGGTATTCTTATTCGTTTTTTTTAACTATGGCAATTTGACTTTTTGCGATGTGATTGTTGCCAGTGTGAAATTTCTAAAAATTTCCAATTATAATTCTGAAAAATTATATGGAACGAAATGATTCAAAGCTTGTTTATTTGAGACTACAGTTGAGGTGAAATTAAAGGAAACGCGATGAAATGGGTTAATATAGTCTCAGTAAAATGGCGGTTGTTTATTAATACTGAGATAATCATACGTAAATATAACGCAGTGGAAATTGATGTTCTCGTGAATTTCAATTGAATAATAGGAGACTAATTGTTCAAGAACTCCGTCCCTCGTAAGGGAAGAAATAAAAATTCAATATCACCTGTAGTCGGATTATTAAAACAGGCTTGAAGTAAGTGACCGAAGAAACATGGCTTATGTTACCAGCCAGATTTTTTACTTGTTGTTATTTAATGTGTATCTTTTTTTTTAGCTTGTAATTTGTATTTTGTTTGTTATTTATTGCGTATCTTTTTTTAGCTTGTTATGTGCTAAATAAATAAATGAATAAAAATTAAAAAAAGTAACGTTTGTTAGGCGGGGTACGATTAGTTCATGAGTTAATCGCCGACTTCAGTGATGTAGTTTAAAAGGAAATGAATTTGTCAGGCGGTTGGGAGACGAGCAACCGGCGCCTGCTGGAGCCCCCGCACTACGACGGCGTGCAGGCGCTCGCCCTGCGCGGCCACGTGCTGTACAGCGCCTCGCGGGACACCAGCCTCAAGCGCTGGAACCTGCACGACAACTCGCTCACCCATGTCAGTCTCAACTACCGCTTTATATACCTAATCCGGCCATAAGTTCTGTTACAAATGAATATGCATTTCTTTTTGAAGTGAAACTTCTTTAGAATCGTGATTTCAAACTCGATGAAACGAAAAAATAAGTCCATAGAGACACAAACACATAAATGTATGGGATTCAGCCGGCGAGAGAATGAGATAGAACACATTAGACGTTCTCAGTGTACCGTACAATGGGGTAAATAGGGACAAAATCGACCTTCAGATTGAATTTTAAAATAGTTCCAATTAAATAGTCACTGCTCAACCAAAGAAATAAGTTGAGTCTTGAACGTACCTAGGTGATAAAAACCGTTACATTATTTTAATTATTCATTTTAAAGAAATAATCGATAAAATAATGGCCGTCCCAATTTACCCAGCGTCCGGGGTAAATTGACACGGTTAAGGGTTAAATTGGGATATTTGTAAGGGTTGTCAACTCGCAGTACTGCGATATATAGGTAGGTGCCATATAATTATTTATATGGACCGAAATGATGAATACAATCCATAATTTAAGCACAATACACAACATAGTGTAAATTAAGCTGGTTTCTATNAATTTAATTTGACGAATTTTTGGGACCAACTAAACTCATGTTTAGTACTTCCATAGTTAACTTGGTTTTTCTTCTATACATTGATAAATATTACCTTAAAGAAAATTAGGTAGATTCCGTGCTACAAGTACTTTGAGAATCTTCCGCAGGTTTGTCCCAATTTACCCCAGAATCCCAATTTACCCCATGTCATGGTAGTGTTTTATTAATACAGCGCCATCTGTGAGATTTTTTAATACTAACGTGTGTATGAAATCTCTTGTAATGAATTTTAATTTATGATTATACGTGAAGTTAAAATATCAATTCACAGAGGGCGCTACCTCATACTATAAAAGATGATTTACAATTATTTACTAATGACAAAATTTTACATATACTTAGACATTTAGGATAATTGTATTTTATTTTTTGAAGGTTACACTTCTACCACGTGTGAATTTCACACGTTTTTTTTTTTAATGAAGTAATCTAATATTATGAAAATTTAACCTACATATTTATTAGTCACAGCAAAAAAAAATTCAATTCGAAATGGCCACCTTTGGCTTTTGTACAGGCCTTTAATCTGTTTGGCCAGGAATCTATTGATTCACGCGCAGTTTCCAAGGGTAATTTCGTCACTGCTTGCTCCAGAGATTTTTTACGAGAAGTCGTCGTGGCGTTTAGAACCTGGCCGTGTCCATTAAAACTGACCATTGGTCTGTCTGGACGCAATATCAAAGAAGTTTTGAAAAAAAAACCTATTTCAAATTCAAAATAATTTTATTAAAAAGTTAAAAAAAAAAAAAATTTTTAATAGCAGTATTTATGGCCAGATACATTTATATACATACTTCGATATAATAAAAAAATTTATGTCTGCTTAGAATAAAATCCTTGACAGAGCTATAAGTCCGATTAATGTATTCGAAACGTTTATATATAGGAAAATAATGCAAACATGCCAGATGAACGGTGTTATGAGGAATAGGAAATTAAAAAAATAATAATAATTACAAAACAATGTCTTCTAAAGTAATAATAAAAATAAGAGTAAAATTAGGAAACGTGATTTTGTCTAATATGTTCAAATTACTCTAGATTGAACTGCTAAATATAGAAAATTTTTGAACAAAAGGTTTTATTTTTTAACTTGCTCTGGCTCTTCACGTTTTGTGAGGATTTCAATTTTGAAGATCAAAATAGATAGACCGGAACTTTTAAGGGGCTGTGATTTATTTTAATACACTATCAAGAAATCTGGGAATCGGAATGGTAACGTTACAGAGCGTGATGAACGCGCACAAGGGCTGGGTGACGGGCGTGTGCGTGCTGGGCGGCGCGGAGGAGGGCGCGGTGGCGAGCTGCGGGCGCGAGGGCGCCGTGCGCGTGTGGAGCGCCGACCTGCGCGCCGTGACGTCTCCCGCCGCGCTCTCCGACGCCGTGCACGCGCTCGACGCGCACCCCGACCCGCACCGCCGGACGCTCTACACCGCCTCCAAGTCAGTACCGGAACCATACGCGTGCGCTCATACATACTCATATAGGCATATCTAAATATTATCATTTAAGGGTTTTTTTTGTTTTGATTAGGGATTAACAAGTCAATCTGAAATATTAAATTCTATAAATTAGCATAATCTGAATGCTGAGTCAGTTTTGGATATTTGAGACAAAATTGGATATTTCTGGTAATTTTAAGAAATTATTTAAATAATAAAATACTTTTATTTATTTTACCTCATCAAAGAGTCTAAATTTAATATATCTTTCATAACAATGGGTCAAAAATAATAAAATCAAATTAATTCTAAAGCCTATCATCATATATACTGATGAGTGTTAAAGTAAAATTGAAAGTTTATCAACAAATGTCGGTCGCGTCACGCCGATCTTACGTGTCGTAAGATACACCAATTAAAACGCGTTGCATTGCGTAGTCGTCTTTAAAAAGCTATTTACATAGGAACTTATAATTTCATACCTTATCGATATGTTGTCTTTTTCTATCGATGTGTTGGGATGTGTTGTCGTGCTCTATTGTCTATGTTAACGTGTGAGTGTGTGTTACAGCGGCGGCGAAGTGCGTGCGTGGCGGATCGTCGTCGAGCCGTGAAACTCCTCAGGTGCAGTCGCAAGCATTATCGCTTCTGCACTGTACTGTACAATATTGTACTGTACTCTACTGTATATTATTGTACTTTATTGTACTGTACTGTATTATATTGTATTGTACTGTATTATATTGTACCGTACTGTATTTTATTGTACTGTACTGTGTACAGTACACGTCCTGCTGTCGACCAACGAGGATGCCATGTGTACAAATATACTAATAATAAAATCTTTTTTTTAAATAATACATATTTCTAGGGTTTTCGGAATTCGATATAATTATATTCGTAACAGTTTTGTATTTCAGTTGTCGTAGTCGTCAAACATTAAAGGAAATAATGATAAAAAATGAGATTGAAAATGCATCATCTTTTTAATTAAACGTAATGTAATTTTGTTTCACACATGGCAACCCCGTTTACCTTAAAATACTGTAACGTGAGGACTAATCATATGCTTTATCAATTAACTGAGTTATTAAAATTCACATTTAGTACATTTCATTGACCAAAGCGATTATGGTACTTAATTGTTTATTATATCAAAGTAGTAAAATGGTGGTGTTGAACCAAGGGTTACTGATCAATCAACCTCTAGTAAGTCATGAGATCTGCCCGCCTCAAACTAAATATAATGATTGTAAACAGCATCCAATTCGCTAAGCAATGACCAACGCATGAACACTGATGCCTTTATTAGCAATGTCAATGACAAATGGCGTTTGAGAAAAGTGATACCTTGGGCATCTGAATCATTATAAAATTATATGAGAAAAAAAAAATGTTTGATGATTTCATAGTCTTATTTCATACATTAGTTCTCAATGCCTTTATTGGCAATTTTAATGACAAACAGCATTTGAGAAAAGTGATGATAACTCGCGCATCTAAATCATTATAAATTTATATCAGAAAAAAAACCCAAAATGTTTGATGATTTCATAGTTTTATTTCATAGATTAGTTCTTAATGCTTTTATTGGCAATGTTAATGACAAACGGCATTTGAGAAAAATGATAACTTGCGCATCTGATTCATTATGAATTTATACTTGAAAAAAAAACTCAAAATGTGGATTTAATAGTTTAATTCATAGATTAGTTCTCACGCAGTCTTCCGTCACCAGCAGTCACTCTAGCACCTTCCTGTTCCAATCATTAAATGAATTCTATTATTAGATAGGTGATCAGAACTAAACGAATCGTGCTTAATTTATCAGTATGACAACACGTTGTGCTTATCGTTACTGGCAACATTTAAATTTTATTTACAAGAAAACTCCTATCGTGACAAAAAAAGTCATTAGCTTGATTGCCTATCATTAATTTTTTTTTATTGTAAATTATATTTTATTAATTGAATGTGTAATGTTTACGTGTGTTTCACGCTTGCACATGTCGCCGCCGCTCCACGAATCATTCGAATGTAAAAAAATATATGTATAAACAATAATATATATTGCCACATCTAAAAATTCGATTTTTAGATGTCGCAATAATATTATTGTTTCAAACCATTATTCACAACATTATCTGTGACTAACCTTTCAGCTTTAACTGTTAAACTAATATGTAGTTAATTTAGTTATAAGGGATCATTTAGATAAATATTTTTACTAATATTATAAATAAGTATGATGTTAATGACTCGTTGAATTAATTCATCGAGATTTTTTTTTATACTTATTTTGTTTACTATATTTCAAAACATTTACTGAATGCGACAAGTTAAGCATTCACACGAGACAAAAAGATAACCATCACTCATACGTGTCTTTTATCAAGACAAGTACATTATAAAATTTAAAGTAAAGCATTTTAACACATATAATTTTATAAATAAATAAATAGGAACAAATGACGCAGCGTCATCCGGCCCCAAGTCAAGATTCCGTGTTATGGGTACTAGAGACTGATATACATAGTTATATACGTTTAAATATATACATAATAATATATAGATAATAAACACCCAGAAAAGAGCAAACAAAACTGTTAATCACAGGAATGTTGTCCGATGTGAGAATCCAATGACCCTCGGCGCAACAGCGCTAAATACTGCACCATAGAGTTAGTCTTTTTCGAGTTAATTTCTTTACACGGTATTCTAATTATATCTCATACGAAACGAATGTTACTGTGAATATCGCCGGATCATCTCAGTGGGTCGCGATCAGTGTGCTTAGTGTGAGTTTCTTAACGTTATCGATAGCGTAAAACTCAACCCAACTTTGTATGCAGTTGGAACAACGCCCCTAGCGGCAAACGTAGGTAAACGATCCTATTCCATACAAATATGAGCTAACTTTTACGCTATCGAGAACGTTAAAAAACTCGCACTAAGCACACTGGTAGTAAGATTCAACGAAGCACTGCTTTTGTTAGTGTTAGCAATTCTCTTAGGCTGAGCCCGTGAGCTCACCTACCGGTCCGGGTGAAGTTGGTATACCCCCATAGGCCAACCAACGATTAGGTAGGGAAAAAAAGTGAAGCAACGTTCAATATTAACCCATTGTAACTACTATTGTCTGTTTCCGTTCCAGTGACGGGCGTGTACGTTGTTGGCGCGTCCGCACCGCGAGGTGACCGCCGCCCCCGGGCGCCCCGCCCGCCCCTCCCGCCCCGCGCCACGCCCGCCGCGTCTGGCGGTGATACACCGCAGACACTACAGACCCGACACAGAACACGGAAATATACACAGTGTAAGTTAACAATAATGAATACACGTTCATCTGTGTCGTCGGTGTGTAGTGCAATGGCATTTATTCTCGAGAAATGAAGACCTGAATCGCAGTAGTAGTCTAGAAATTTTGCACAATGGTTACAGTAGATGTTCTCGGCAAGAACGTTCGGAATCAGTTAGCCGCGCGATGACCGAACTTCTTATAGGAAAATAAAAACACCGAAAAGTTAAGGATGAGTTGAGCAAATATAAAATAAAGGAAAAAATACTATCATGCACAAATTTTAACGAAAAACAACTTTACAGCCTTAACCGTAGAAACTTTTTTAAATTGTCACAATCACTTTTATAAAACGAATAAACAGCTCTGTCACAAACAAAGAATAAATGTAATTAATTTGAAAGATACAGTAGTGGTCTCTCCAATTTACGCGATTCTTGAACTTTGTCACAGACTCAATAGAATGAAACAAATGAAAGAAAAAAAAATGTATGCAAATTCTTAGTATTGTTGTATCTAGATTGTGTAAGGCGCCAATGCCTACTTTAGTGCTTTAGTAATATCCATGACGTTACAAGTTTTACATTGAATAACATTTAAATTCGCCAAGTGTTTACGTCATAATGCTTATCTAAGCGCATAGATTTATGTAGTTAAATGAATAAATGCAACTTTAGCTGGAATATAACAACAAATCGATAAATTATCCTGATCCAGTATTGAAGAAGAATTTGGATCGGTTATAATCAAACAAACGATTGATTAATGCACAGTTTTTAGGTACAAAGACCATTCAAAGACAATAATCTTAATTTTAAATTACTAAACAAAATACTAATAATGATATATCCCAATTTCCAAATAATAATATGTAGTTGTAATAATAAAATGCAAACAAATATTTTCTACTATATTTTATAATGAATGACAAAAATAAAGTAAAATGTAAAGCATGAGATAAATATTATCTAAAAAATGATTTATAAACTCACAAAAATCAAATGAAATTATATAATAACCGTTGTAGTGAAACTGGGTCTTTGTATATATAAATTGCTTGAATGCTAAACTAAAGATATAATCAATAATGATACTATACAATATTTATTATGCTTTGAAATTATGTATATTTGATTATCATTTTTACTAAAAATGTCCCCAAAACTCAAATGGTAAAAATTGTGTCGATAACAAAAAATAGATGAGGTTTTAAAATTAGGTAGCTAGAGATGATAGAAGTAATATTAATTAAAAATTTAGATTAAATTAGAAATAAAACCAAATAAATACCTTGCTGTGTACCAAATTGCGAATGTTCAAATTACATTTTACATTCAAATGCAAGATAGGTGATTTGTAAACCTAAAATGATTAAGAAATTTATTATATGAAAACGAAGTATCTATGCTACGATATAATGGAATACTATTCCGTCTCATCATTTAAATAATACATAATGACAATTATTCAAAGGAACTTAAATATAGATTGACCTGTTGACTTACATAAAAATATTGTAATATGAAAAATTTAGACAATTCAAATTCCGAATTATACGCAATCTCATATGGGCTATAGACACATTTTCACAGACCTTATGTATTCATAAGGGCCATAGTTACCCAAGGTGTTTAATTCGTTCTATTTCTGAAGACAACCTTAGAACTGATTGATCAATTATTATGATGAAATCTGTGATTAATCGAATTATATTTTTGTACATTCCTATGTTACGGGTATGTTTAGAGGACATATAAAAGGAGGATAGATAAAAGATTGTCACCGTAGAAGGTATACAGAATAAGAGAAACATAGTTGTAATTTGAATTTTTCTAAGGACTAACATTAAGTCCTTTATTGCTTTTTACAATTTAGATTATTTTTAATGAATCTCATTTTTAAATTAAGGCATTGAAATATTTTCTGCAGTTCGTTTAAATAGAACAAATGTTGTGAGCAAGGTTAATGAATATTTCAAAGTTATATGATGTACAATTTTCATTGTACATCTGTTGACATTAGAAGCATAAGGATAACCACAATTTCAATGTTTCAAATATAATTAATTATAATAAATGAAAATAATTTGATCTGTACAACTATGTTAGAATATGATTTTATTATTGAAGTGAAACAAACAAAAAATAACCACAAGTGAATTCTTAAATGTGTTTTTTTGCAAAAAATTAACTTGACGTTATTTTTATCCTCTGACGTCTAGCATTGTAAAATATTCGTTACTGCGACTTGACAGGTAGTTAAACTTAGGGCACTCGTATACTATGAGGATTATGGATGATAATGGATTATATTTACTGTTATTTTCCCTCGACTCAGTATTATGCCTATTTAAATGTTACGTTGGCTTATATTTATTTGTTTTTAAGTTGATGCAACGAATTAATTTACATTATTTACGTGAATCAAAGTTACCAAGTACTAGGATTTTCCCTTAACCTATAAAATAATACCCCGAAAATTAAATGAATAATTGTAACTTTTGGGTAAAATTGGCTCACTTATGACTATTAGTTTTAAAACAAATCACATATGTGTGGATTCTTCTTGAATGTTGGTTAATTCCTCATATTGCTCATCCGACTGGAAGTGAATTAGTTAATAAATGTTTTTATTACATTCATAATGAAGACAGCGGTTGACACAAATGGAATGTTGATAAGTTTTTTTTTTTGGATTTTATGCCCTGGATCATGGATGCGATGTTGACATAGGGTAGTAGCACAGTTATTTTCATAATTACAGCTGTGATCAGTCTGTGGGCTCGATTCACCACATAACGGGCTCGGACTTTTTGGCGGGAACGCGAGGAGTGAAGTTGTGTGATTTGTTTTATTTTGTCTATTTAGTGTTTCTTGGGTTTAAATGTGTAATAATGGTGGTTTATTAACTGTTTAATATCTGTGAAAGTGCACAAATGTGGGAAAATGAAACAAAGCCGCTGGACGTAACTTCTCGGGGATTCTCCAAAAAGTCGACTGAAAATCTCAGTAAATGGCCACAATTTTACTAAGATTAAATTTCATCCCATATCATCTCCTTTAATTTCATCTCAGTTGATTAATGTCTCAAATTAATCATCTTCATTTCATTTTATTTCATTTCACTCCACATTATCATTTGTCATAAAAATAAGACATGACATAAAGGTATTAGTTTCCAGGTCATAGAATCCCTTAAAAAAAACATAACGGGCTATTTTGGCGGGAACGCAAGGAGCGGAGTTGTGTGAATTGTTTTATTTTGTTAATTTAGCGTTTCTTCAGGTTTAAATGTGTAATAGCGGTGATTTATGAACTGTTTAGCATCTGTGAAAGTACACATTCTTATAATTCAGTTTCATTTCATTCGGATTGATTCAAGTTAATCAACTTCATCTCAATTCGCTTCATATCATTCTCCATATAGAAAATATAAGATTTGGCTTAAGGGTTCCATTACTAGGCCATAAAATCTTCAAAAAAACGTTAATAGAGGTGTAAATTTCATAAGCTAAAAAACTAATTAAGGTATTTTTTAAATAGTCTGTTTTAATTTTAAAAAAAAAACAATATTCCTATCGGTCAGCGGTGACTTATAATATAAACTTTTGAGCCCCAATTGTCAGTTTTACCCAAAGTTATAAAATTATCCAGATTAATTATACATATTAATAAAATATTGTTTATTTTGATGTATGTTATGTTAATATTTTTTTCAAACCCTACCAAATATTGTAACTATTGATGAGGCTATAAGCTGAAGCTTTATTAGTAATCGTCATATATAAAAATATTAGTGATTAGTATATGTATACATATAAAATTCGAATTAAAATCTTTTATGTAATGTTACTCTTGCTGCTATAATAATAAAATAGATTTTTAGTGTTGTTAGAAAGCCTTTTTTATTATTTTACAAAAAGTTTAGTAACTCCCGTAGTTTAATATTTACATAATTATTTTTTTAATTTTCTAAATACTTCACATGTCTGATTTTATATGATCAATTTGAAACCTCAAAAATGCCAATACAAAAATTGTAAAATAAACTATCTAATATTTATATTATGTTTTCAATAATAATTGAATTTGTTTTTGTGGTCAAATGAAATACTTTATTCGAATTGATAATCTGAACAATAAATGATGAGTTGCTATTATTATGTTTTTGTTTTATTCTCTCCGTGCATGTTCTTAAGAATGTGGGTGTTCCGGGCTGAAGCCATTTTAAATACAGGTAGCTCTCTTATAACACGGTAGATACGTTCCTACAAAGACCGGTGTTGTGTGAAACCGTGTTATATCAGTCTAGAAGCCAGTACAAAAAGGAGAGTAATTTTCCTGAATGAATTGTTTTACTGGTGGTAGGACCTCTTGTGAGGCCGCACGGATAGGTACCACCACCCTGCCTATTGCTGCCGTTGAAACAGTAATGAGTTTCGATTTGAAGGATGGAGCAGCCGTGACTATACTGAGACCTTAGAACTCTTATCTCAAGGTGGGTGGCGGCATTTACGTTGTAGATGTCTATGGGCTCCGGTAACCACTTAACGCCAGGTGGGCCATGAGTTATTCCATCCATCTGAGCAATAAAAAAAATGAAACATCTCAATTATACTTATATGTATTTTTATCTATTACGCATAAAATATAAGGAGTAAAATTTCGGTTATTCCATAATATGGTGTGTTCATAGTGCATAATGTAATTTACTAAATAATTTCAAACAAAAATGTCTTTATCGTGTTATAAAGAGGGTTTGGAGAATTACTGAATCGTGTTGTAAAATACTGTGTTATAGGAGGATTGATTACCTCTAATGTAATTAATTATATATCGGTCTTTTATTGAGGTTTATAAAAAAAAAGCAATAAAACATCAGCTCTTCAATCATACATTTAATCATTCTTATTACGATCTAATATTTACATGTCAAACGCGATGGAACGTTCAAAAGCTGAGGACGATATGGGAGCATCCCCAGGCGCTCACGACGAACGAACATAATTCTATATTTATCTCGGGTACACTAGTCACCAAAACCATGCAATATAGTAATGATAATATCGAATGTCTTTGTTACTTGCTAGTACTATTGCTATGCCTAGTGTGAAAGTGTATTTTTTTCCATTAAAGATCATGTTTGAAGCTTCGTTTTTTTTTAAATTAAAACTCGCATCATTGCGTTTATTTATGATTCTAGTATAAACATGTTAATGTTGAATTAGTTTTCCCTATAACTCGATCACTGATCACTTTATCCATATATAAATCCATGTAAATAAATTGCAACGGCATTCTATTCATTCATACCCCTTTTTACTCACGGAACAGTTTACCAATCATCTGTTTCACCCTAATTTCCTTTATACAGGCTGAATGGTTGAACACTTCACATATTGATATTGAGTGCTCGACTCTTGACTCTCGTTCTAATTAAGCAAAAAAAAAATAGGTGCCTAACATTTGCCTAATTTATCTTTAATTATCTACTGGAAACAATAAGCGTGGTCACTCGCGCGAAGTACAGAATTAGCCGGTCATGCGGCAAGGTAGGTAGGTACCTATGTACTGGTTTGTTTACACCGGTCGATGATCTCGGTATCGTTTGAACGCGGCGCGCTGATTGGATGCAACCCTGCTCTCACCCCCCGGGCGGCGCTTCACCCTCGCGCTCACCCCCGCCCTGCGGCACATCCATTCAGTGACGAAACAAAACACGCGCGGGCGCCGGTCTTTTCGCAAACGATATTTGATACGGTGTCCACAAATTTCAAGTTTTAGCAAATTAGTTTAATGAAGGTTTTCTCTGTAGTTCATTTGTACTTTTTTAATTTTATATTTCTAAACGTTACATGTGACCATGAATTACCACGTCCTTGAGTATGTAAAGTATTCAACCAGTCAATCTGTATAAAAATATGCAATGAAAATGTTTGCAGTAGCACAGGATAAGTTATCAATAGTCCATCCGTTGGTCACACCAAGTGGCGTGGTGTTGCTAGACCGACTGTCAGTACTTGTACTTGGCGTGTTTGGTGTGATGCTTGCGGTGCGAGGGGGGCGTGGCCGGCGAACGACGTCGCCTATCCCTGTCTCGCTCTCTCTCGTGGTCGCGACTCCTCTCTCGATCTCTGTCCTTCTCGCGAGACTTAGACCTGGATCGAGAACGGCGATCACTGCAATCAAATTAAGTAATAGTTAAAACGTTTTATTTTCCGTGTACGTGTATCCGCGACGAAATGCGATTTTTTTTACGTATGCTGCTAGCCTTGAGAGGCTATTTCAGCTTCTCCTTGACGTGTAGGTGAGCTCACGGGGCTCTAACCGGAGTGTTGCTAACACTGACCCTAGCAAGAGCCGTGCTTCGCAGAATCTACCACCGGATCGGTAACGCGACCCACTGAGAATATCCGGCGAAAAACTCAGTGGGCTGTGTCTGAGGGTTAATTTACTCGTCGAGCCCTTCGTCGCAAGCGACGGGTTCGACGAGAACGATGACCGGTGCTTGAGGTACCTAAAAGCACCGTTAATGGATCGGGAGGATCCGTAATGACGTGTTTAGGGACGATGATATTTTACGTAGTCTGCGCCCGAAGCTTTACGCATCCCAAGATGCTGGCTCACAAAAGTTTGAGAAGACTCCAACTATCAACACTAATATAAATTTGTTAATTTGTTCAAACACATGGCGCTTAACGTGTAGTTCACCAATATATTCATTGTGAACCCCATGGAATTTTGTTTAATTAGTCTAGCAGGGAAACAAAAAAAAACTGTTAATTTCCTATTCAGTGTCAGATGTATTAACTAACCTGTGACGCGACCGTTTCGGCGGCGGCGATAACGTCGGCTCTCTTGACTTCTTTGATTTCTTAGATGAAGTTCTGAAAAGGCAAATGTCAAAATTATAGGCTCTTGCATGACACACAGTTTGGTGAGTCGAAATGTCAATATAAAAATTATATTAAACCACTTTTTCGTACAATATTAAAACATATATAATTTTTCTTTAAATATTGTATATTTAATAAGATATTAATTAAATATATTGCAAATAATATGTAGTACTAATATTGGACGTTGCTTTAATTTCCTTTTCAATAAACTGTAAATGATTTCATTTAGAACATATAATAATCGTAAACAAATGAAACACGGTCGGTCATTTAGCCCTAAACTATAAGACTAATCCGAACATATTGAGAATTAATCTATATGTAAGAGATCTAAAAAAATAAATCATACATTAAAAACAAAAGAAGGCAAAGTTAGATGATCCTGGCGCATTAGTAACAGAAATTGACATAATTAACTTTAGGGCACCGGTGACCTACATAGTAGTTAAAAGATTAAAATAAAGTGTATTGTTCGCAATACTCACGAGTACGCGTCATCCTCAGTGACTCGTCTCTGTTCGGGCGACTCTCTAGCACTCGCCTCCCGCACCTCGCGCAGCGCCTGGAATCGTGTAGGAATACCATATATTAATACGTGAAGGAAAAACTTTGTACCCCTTTTTACGAAAATTGCGCGGACGGAGGAGTATGGAATTTCCCACACTTATAGAGAATATAGAGAAGAAATGCACAATGTTCATATTTTTTAAAATTATACCTAAAACAGATTATACATTAAATCAATAAAAAAAAAAAGCATTACACACACTACCATGTATTTGACGCTCACAAGTATGCATACTATTTATTTATTATCAAACTTTTGTTCTTGACGTCTGTGGTCAAATTGAAAATAGATTAAATATAGTTTGTCTTTATTAATATTTTTCTATAGTGTAGTCTTGGCGAAATTTGTGGTTATAGAAGTATAATAGTCTTTGAAAATAGAATCATAATAGTGTACAAACTTACAATTTCAATTAATGATAGTCGAATTTCGACTACTGCGGGACCACTTTTTTTTTTGGTCAGGGGGAAATCGCCCTCCACTGGGGATGAGAGGGTGGGGCATGTCAGAATCTAACTGACTAAAACCTCCTGTCGCTCAACAACCAACGTCCAAACCTCGCATGAGACAGAACTCATGAAGAGGCAAAGGGGGGAAAGTGAAGCGTTTAGTGCGGAGCACATCTCTCCCATCACCCTCCCCCACTGCGGGACCACTAGTACTTAATAAAAGCGTTTTTCCTTATAAATTGAAGACCGTGTGAGTAGTGTAGTGTAGTGTAGTGTAGTGTAGTGTAGAGTACCTTCTTGATGAGTTTCCGTCGGTAGTGCTGTATCTGCTGCGCGGGCGCGAGGCCGGGGCGCGGCGCGCGGGCTCCGCCCTCCAGCTCGTCGGCGTACTTCAGCACGCGCACCTCGATCTCGCGCAGCGTCTCGCGCTTCAGCGTCTGCTCCTCCGACCTGCCCCCGACCCCTCAACGAACTTAGTTTCGTAAAGTTATCGCGGTCTAAATCTGAGAACCTCCCTACAAGTCGTGTGGTATTTTATGCTTATTAAGAAATCATTTTATACTTTCTTTGGAATCGTTTAACTCCGTACAACGTAATGTAGGTACATCTACTGCTCCATATTATGAAATAAATTTCTCATATTTAATACTATACATAGTATGAAACAAAGTCGCTTTCTCTGTCCCTATGTATGCTTTAAAACTACGCAACAGATTTTGATGCGGTTTTTTTAATAGATAGAATGATTAAGAGGAAGTTTTATATGTATTATAACATCCATTAAATAGTGGAGACATAAATAATAAATCAAAGTTTCTGAAGCGAAGCGAGGGCGGATCGCTAGTTTAATACTATTGGAGGAGTATTATACTAATTGGAGTATAAGCGAATAGTGCGTACGTGTCGGGTGCGGGCGCGGGCGCGGGGGGCGGGGCGGCGCGCTCGTCCAGCGCGGGCGGGGGCGGGGTGTGCGGCGCGGCGGGCTCCACGCTCTCCCAGCGGGACGGCACGAACCCGCCCGGCCCCGCGCCCTCCTCGCTGTCTGGCTCCAGCGGCACGCCGTCAATATCCTCATCCACTGCGGACAACACAAATCAAAACATTCTAGACTCCACAAATAATTGAATTGAATTGAATAGCCTTTTATTCAGATCCATATTACAATTATAATATAATATATAGAAAACTTAATTTTTATTTAAACCTTAATCTAGCCTATTATTTGAATTTTTCTCATTTTCTGCAGATCTGTTTGCCAATCGACAAAAGCCTCCTCCAGTCTTTTCCACTCCATTTTTCTTGAGCCACTCTGTTCCAGGTGACGCCTGTCACTTGTCTCATGTCGTCATCTCATCTTTTTTGGGGTCAATTTTGCTCCATTTATCTTTACCTCTAACCATATGCCCTCCACAAATAATAGTTTCTAAAATGAACGTGCGCAATCAGCACGTCGAGTTAATGTGGGCGCGTGTACATACCGGGCACGCCGTCGATGTCCGGCGGCGGCAGTGCGGGCGCGTGCGGCTCCCGGCCGGCGGCGAGGCGGCGCAGGGCGGCGCCGTCCAGCGGGCCCCGGGCGCCGCCCTCCCACGACGAGGAGGACGCGTCGGAGCGCGGGGACACCGCCTCCTCCACCGCGCCGGCGCCGCCCACACCCGCCTCGGTCGAGGGACGACGCTCCTGTACAACCACAACTCATTACCATGTATGAACATTATAATAGTGTCTGTATATGAACGAACAAGAACCAAGTTTTTTTTTTAATTTATCCATTCTTTTATAATAAAAATAAGCTCGTGTTTAAATATGGAATAGAATTTATTAATAAAATTTGACAAATTTAATAATTAAAAAATTAGTATATGTAAATTTTTTATATGATAAAATATTAGCATTATTATGTAATTTAATTTTTTTTACAGATATTAGATTTTTAGGTATCTTTTCATATTGTAAATAAAGATAATAATATACTTTTCTGGCAAAGCATATTTTTGAACAGTAGGCGAAATCGTTTGAGATTGAACGGCCTGGAAATTTTTCCGAAATTCGTTTGGTCCATTCTGTTCAAATTCCGTTGACATCAATATCAACCCGTATCTCCCCGTCAGATACAAGTTAATACGATTGAAATACTAATAGCCATTCTACAAAGACATTAATTCTGCTATTATGATTTAAAAAGCACCAAATTTTTTTTGTAGCTATATAGGTTAGACAGGTAAAGTGAACCTTTAGTAGTGGAATTTAGTATTGGGTTAAGCTCACCTTATCTTGTCCCAGGAAGATGTTGTTAATATGTAGTAGGAAGTCAGTGGGATAGACTGCCCAGTCGGCCCAGGCCTGCAGGATGCGCGTGACCCGGGCCCGGAAGCCCTCCTGCTGCAGGCGGGACGGCATGCGGGCCCAGGCCTGCTGGCAGTTGCGCATGATCTCAGCCAGCCGCTGCTGGAATCTACACGCAAGGACAAAGTCTAACTTCAATAGAATGTTTTTGCTGTCTTTTTTTAAAGTTAAACCTTCATCATCGTCTCAAACTTTTTCGTCTGTGTGTTGCATGTCACGTGACGGTCGCCTGCGGAGTAGGGATAACGTGAAAGGTGCTCGTTAGAGCAGCCAAGGCCAATATGGCAGCGCCTATACTGTGAACTACAGCTGACCGTGTAGTGTATAGACTATTACTCATTTGTGCCAGTGCTTGACGCTTTTTTGTTTGTTTTTGTCAGTGTTTAATGTAAATGTTGTTTGTCAGAGTCAAATGTCTATAATGTGAAAAAAAGTTTCATTTTTACCGTAGTTTCATAAAATCCTTTTTTTTATTATTGCTTTTGTAGGCAGACGAGCATACGGCTCACCTGATGGTAAGTGGTTACCGTCGCCCATGGACTTCAGCAATGCCAGAGGCAGAGTCAAGCCGCTGCCTACCGTAGCCGTATCGTGCTTTGTTTGTTCTTAGCTGATTTAAAGCTAGTTGTAGAAGATGGGGTTGTTGGGCAATATAGAGAAGCAGTATACTGACGCGGCGCGGTAGGCGCTGGCGTTGGTGAGCTTGGCGCCGGCGTTGTGCAGGATGTCGGAGAGCAGGTAGAGGCGCGCCACGCGGCGGTGCGGCGCGGTGTCGGCGCCGCCCAGCGCCTCGCACACGCACTGCGCCACCTCGCCCGCCGCCTCCGCGTGCTCCAGGCACCACGCCATGGCCGCGCCCACGCTGCCGCGCGTCGGGGACAGCGAGCGGATCAGCTCCTCCAGCCGGTCGCGCTGGCTGCAACCACAACGTTATTTTTTTAAGGGATTTTATGACCCGGTAACTAAGACCTTTAAGTCACGTCTTATTTTAATTTATATTCTTATTTTTATGAAAAATGATAATATGGAGTGAAATGAAATGAAGATGATTGCAACACTACGTTACACCGCTGCAAGGACACAGTTTAGTAGCGTGTGCGGTTTTGTACATCGCTTGCATTGGTCAGTCGTACATAGCCCACCAGACACGTCAGACACTTGTGACAATATACGAAGTAAAATTGGAACTAACTCGTTTTATTAAAAAAGGGCAGTTAACACCCTTTACATCACATCAGCAACCGTACAACTACCATCAGTACGAACGCTTCTACTACATCACTACGTGTAATCAAAATCAAGCCCGCAAAATTATAATTTGCGTAATTAGTGTTGGTAGGACCTCTTGTGAGTTTTATAGTATAATTAAAATATATAGATATATCCATCACTGAAACAATAATAGTTTACTTCATACTAACGCCATCTAGTGATCGAAAGATATACTATCATAGTAGTGTACTTTGAAAACAGTAAGGCGTTTGTCTTAAGAATGCCATGAGATTTACTAGTCGTAGGACGTCTTATGAGACCGCGCGGGTAGACACCACCACCCTGCCTATTTCTGCCGTGAAACAGTAATGCGTTTCGTTTCATGGCTGGGGCAGCCATTGCAACTATATTAAGACCTTAGAACTTACATCTCAAGGTGGATGGCGCATTTACGTTGTAGATATCTACGGGCTCCGGTAACCACTAACCACCAGTTGAGCCGTATGCACGTCTGCCTATAGGGATAATAATAAAAAAATGACAATTTGTAGTTAATTAAATTCATAAAATTTTTAAAAATACACAAATATGGAGAAATAGAAAAAAAACACTAAATTCAATAATTCTTGGGTTCTTTCAAAGAATCCACTGCAGCAAAAAGATTATTGAAATAAACAGCAAGGGTCGCGCAACTGACTTGACGGAGAGCGTTCCTCTCATGGAGTCCTTGGCGTCCTCCTCCTCCACCAGCTCGTCGGGCATGCCCGCCGTGTACATGTTCATCACCGGCGGCCGCCAGACTGAACCACCTGGGAACATACAAGTTTTATAGCAATTTTTAGGGTACTTTGACACTCTCCGATCTTACAATAGTACATATGGTAAGAATAATTACTTATACTTTTGGTGAATTTATTAGCGCGCAATGTAACGCAAAGTTCAATGACCCCACACGTTCCCCAAAACCCGCGCTTCAGTTAATTGTGTTTTATATTAGATTGTATGCAAACAGAAAGCTTTAGTACATTATTTTCAGATACCACTTATTGTTACGATATCTGAAATCAATGGCATTCGGTATGTTATGCTGTTACTTTAATTAGACGCACTAGAATGGTGGCACCAACCCGTGGACTTCTGGCAGTACAGGACGAGGAAACAAATTCATAAAGAAATTCTTAAAAATAGTTTGATTTTTTTTAAGGGATTTTATGACCTGGTAACTGAGGCCTTTAAGTCATGTCTTATTTTAATTTACATTCATATTTTTATGAAAAATGATATTACGGAGTGAAATGAAATGAAGATGATTAATTTGAGACATTAATCAACTGGGATGAAATTAAATGAAATGATATGGCATGAAATATAATCTCAGTAAAATGGTGGTCATTTACTAAGATTTTTTCAGTGGACTTTTTGGAGGATCCCGAGAAGTTACCTCCAGCGGCTTTGTTTCATTTTCCCACATTTGTGCAATTTTTCAGATATTAAACAGTTAATAAACCACCGTTATTGCACATTTAAACCTGAAGAAACACTAAATAGACAAAATAAAACAAATCACACAACTTCACTCCTCGCGTTTCCGCCAAAAAGTCCTAAAAATAGTTTGATAAAGAACTACCTGTACAGATTTAAAAAATTCCAATCCGTTTCAATATTTTTGTGCTGATCTTATTGAAATTGTTTTTATTGCATCTTATGCATTTTTTTAAATCTTAAGTATTATAATTTATAATTTAGTTAAATCTCACCTTTAAACATTCTGAAGTCGTCCAGCCTCCACTGTTTAGGCGAGTCTCCCTGCAGCATGGAGTACAGCTTCCACCGATAGTAAACGTGGGCCGGCGATTGGTTCTCGAACAAGAACCGGAAGTAGGGATTGTGCATCTCCTTGTTCATGATGATGGCCTCGAACATCGGACCCTCGCGGATGACGAACTCCACCATTCGATGTATTAACATTAGGATGTTTCTGTAAAACACATATTTATTTATTTAGAATATTAATACGTGAAGCAAAAAATTCGTATCCTTTTTTACGAAAATTGCGCGAACGGAGGAGTACGAAATTTCCCACACTTATACATAATATAGAGAAGAAGTGCAGAATGCTAAAATTTTTGTAAAATTATGCATAAAATACATTAAATCAATAAAGAAAACATTACACACACTACCATGTATTTGACACACACACACACACATATACTCTGTTTATTGTCAAACTTTTGTTATTGCTTAAAATCTGTAGTCAAATTTAGAATAGGTTAATATTATTTATGTTTTAATATTATTTGTCTATAGTGTAGTTTTGGCGACATCTGTGATTATGAAAGTATAATAGTCTTTGACAATAGAACCATAATAATGTTCAAACTTATAATTTCAATTAATTATAGTCGAATTTCGACTACTGCGGGACCACTAGTTTATTTAGACACACCAACAGCAATACACACAAAACATTCAAGCTTAAGCTTAACATGTATGAAATTAAGTACTGGTATGTAAGCCAGTTACAGGCATGTACAAAAATCTCTTATAACACACACTGTGACATGTTACAGCAATTTTACAAACAGCGGAAAAATAGGTAAAATTTAAATGTTAACAGTACGACATAAAAAAATAATTAAAATTGTTGTTCTATAAATCGAATCGGTCAAACGACATTTTACTTGCCGTATCTAATTCAATCAATTATTAAATGAGGCCGTCAGCGCAAAAGCGGCCTAAGCTTACCATAGGCAGCATGGAGATAATGAGTATTGAATTTACTTTTACACTGCTTCGTAGGCAAAAATAATACGCTCAAAAATAATGTTTAGTAAGCCATCTGTTATCTATGGGTGAAACTAGGGATAGGACGGTTGTGCATCAAAATTTATTATGTTTTAAATAAATTGCAATATATAAGCATGAATATAAAAAATTGTGGACTAGGTCACTTTTGCTGTGACGGCCTCAAATGTTTATGTACATACAATTAACAAACTTAACCAAAGATGAGCGACTATGAAAGCAAACGTTTAAAAAAATACTATTAACAAATTATTAACAAAAACACAATATGCAAACCTTTCTGTGGGTACCACAACTTTAACTATGGACTGGGACAGGATCTGAAAATAATGATAGAAATTTAGAATGAGGCCTTAATGTTTTTTTTGTGACCACTGGTCCCTCCTTAGCTACATCATTGTTGAAGTTGATGTATGTCGATACCAATGTTCAGGATGTGGTTTTTTTTTTTTTTATAACAACGAGAGGCAAACGAGCAAGACGGGTCACCTGATGGTAAGTTATGGTTGCGTGTTTAATTGAAGTTATATTTTTTTTATGGAATTTCACTTATAGTTTATGATTTATATTTGTTAAAACTACACTTATAAACCCAAAAATTTATAGAAAAAACAGCGAGCGAACAATTTTGCTTAATCACTAACTTCAAATCTGATTGATTTTTCTTAATTTTTATCCATCCTCCTTTTACAGTCATTACTAAAAAAGAGTTGTTAAGTCCGTATTACTAGTTGAATGAATGTAACCAGATTTGAAGATTTACTACTGAGATACTGCAAGTCTTATTTGAGGCATTTAAGTAATGACGCCGCGTGTTGAGGCCGTGGTTGCGGAGTCACCGGTGAGCAGGGCAATAAATGCTTAGACTGCGATTTGTCACGTCCCCAGTTCGTGTGTGTCCAAACAGTGCAACAGAGCGAGGTGTGTTCTCCTGGATGATGGCTTTTTATCGTTGTAGATGTCTATGGGCTCCGTTAACCACCTAACATCGGGTGGGCCGTGAGCTCGTCCATCCATCTAAGCAATAAAATATATATATGTGAGGTTTTATATTCAGGGTGGGCCAGTGAAACGGTTGATCACTTCACAAAAACTCTTAATCGTCTTAATCTATGTAACTAAAATATAAACGTCTTGCTTCTTCAGAGTTACACCGCGTCTGTTTGTCGTCGCGTCCGGCAACTACCCTCCTCCCGCTTAAGAAATAAAACCTAAGTGTTCCGCATTCATTTGCCGTCTTTGTTACTTCCTAACACGACATCTTCTATCTCTCTTACTCAGTCATGCTTCATATCTGTTATTCATCCATACCGTTCCGTATGTACATAGTAACACAGTTAACTACCTTGTCGTACAGTTCCTTGTCATCGGGATCACTGGGACTGTATTCGCCGGGTCGTAGTCGTGGTATCTATAAAAAAAATATAAAAAAATTAATAGTTGTCATCTTTCAAAGTTCGTTGACCTCGTGCGCAGAGCGTACTTAGACTAGATGAATAGATCACGCGGTTTGAAGGGTAGAGCAGTTATCACTACATAGTATAAAACAAAGTCGCTTTCTCTGTCCCTATGTATGCTTAAATCTTTAAAACTACGCAACGGATTTTGATGCGGTTTTTTTTAATAGATAGAGTGATTGAAGAGGATGGTTTGTGTGTATAATAACATCCATTAAATAGTGGAGAAATCAATAATAAATTACAGTTTCCGAAGCGAAGCGAGGGCGGGTCGCTAGTTATCTATATATTAATAGGTTATATATAGGTATAGGTAACTTTGTACCCCTTTTTACGCACCTTGTGCATGAGATGTCTGGGCGGCTGCGCGTTGAAGGGCAGGCCGGAGGGCGGCGGCGGCTTGCAGGGCTGCTGCAGCGCCGGCGGGATGTAGATGGGGACCGGGGGTATCACGACCGCCTTGCCCCACCCTAACTTCATCTCGTAATTCATTATCTCTTTGCCTAAAAGTAAAGAAATAATAGTTTAAATAAACTAAAAAAATACGCTTTTATAGAAAAATAAAAAAAAGTAATAGAAAATAAATTTTGATAACTTTTGAATTAAAAATAGTGTAAGAAAGAAATAATTTTAATTTAATAGATCCTAGCTAGTAACGGATAAAACTGTTTAAAATATTAAATTGTGATAAGTCCTTAATAAGTATACCAAATTTCGAGTTAATCCGACGTTTTGAAGGGGGTCAAAATCATGTTCATAGATTCCGTTACATACTAACATACTTATCAAGCTAATAAAAGCGTATTAAAAACACGAATGAGATCACGACCCCCCTTCACAAGGTTTATGCCGGAACGCTAGCCAGACTTGACGTCTATAAAAAAAATTGGTACGTGCCTGCTGGATTTGAACACTGGCAAAGTTGCATCATTCGATATGAAAACACCGGGCGTCTTATCCTTGAGGGTGAGCGGAATTACTTGAATTCACTTCAATATAAGTTTTTATTTTTAATTGCAAATAATTACAATTATGATTCAATAGAAGTAGCATCCTCGCAAATGAACGTAGACAGTAGCCTTCTGAGTAGGCAGCAGCTTGGCTCTGTCCGTGGCATTGCTGAAGTCCATGGGCGACGGTATCCACTCACCATCAGGTGGGCCGTATGCTCGTCTGCCTACAAGGGCAATAAAAAAAAGAGTAATAAATTTTACCATTAATACACCGCAGGGCTCGTTCACCATCCTTACGAGACATGAAGGCCACGAAGCCACAGTTCCGGCCCCGTGCCTTCTCTTCATCCGAACGTGGCCACATTATCTTGATACTTGCTAATGGCCCGTAACGACCAAAGATCTCCATTAACTGGTGTTCTGTTATCTAAATAAGTTGTAAAAAATTACAAAAACCTCTCCAGGTGTTATGTATTTAGCTCTTTTACTTTCATAGCTTAATGAACATTTAAGAATGTTCAAGTTTTGTATAGATATATATGGTTTGGTTTATTTATTTCCACAAAATAGATATATTATTTGATAATAGACAATTTTACACAAAAAGTATTTTTTAAGATGCAATCCTTGGCATATCGGAATTGCACCTTTTGGTTTTTTTTTACAGTAGGTACCAGATTTTTTTACCACAAAATTAAATACTATACAATACAGGCAATCAAGCTAAGTATCGTCACATAAGTAATTTTTTTTCTTTCTATTTTTCTACTTTAACCTAAATCCTCGGTGTATACTCATATTAAGTTATGTGTAACTCAACTCTTCACATTAAAAAAAACACGTGTGGCACTCGGGGACTACCGCGGTAAAGCTATTGCATAGCATTTTTTATCAACTTAAGCAATTATAATTATTAGACAATAATAATTTAATATTAAAACATTAATAAAATAAGACCTCGCTAAATTTATAAACATTAACTGTGCCTTCACACTCATACGCTAGACCGCGCGAGACATGGGCACTTTTCATGATGCGCATGCAGTGCGACGTCACGCCGCGCGCTTATTCACACACTACACAAGCGCGACGTGTGAATATGTTGAACGCGAGCTATATGGTAGGCGGAGTGGACGGTGTTAGGTTTTATTTTCGTTACGGAATTTCTTAATTCGGTCGCCGTGCTCAAAGCGCGCGATAAAAACTATGCAATAGTTTAAAAATCAGATGACTTCCCACAATGAGATAAACAAAAAAAAATATTATTACCTTTGGGTTTAGATTTCCTAAGTACAGATTAGTTGTATTTGGATCTCCGGTATCATATGAGCCCACATCAGGGATCATATCACAGGTTTGTTCAATGGCTCCTTTGTCTCTGAGTACATTTTTGTACTTGTGTCGTTCTGAACGTTCCTCTTGTATTCTTAAATAGATAAAATCTATAGTCAATATTTTTATATTAAATTATTTTTTTTATCAGTATTTAGTGGAAGATAAGTTTAAAAGAATAGGGGATATATGGAGATTTTATTGGTTTAGGGGTAGATCAACATACTGTCTTAGCTCTTCTTTAAATAATTCTAAGTTGCTTTTCTTCTTATCTTGGCCTTTTTGCTTGGATCGTGGTTTGCCTGATTCTTGCTTCAACGTAAGATTCCTAAGCATGTCAGAGTCATTCCCACCACGTTTCTCATCCAAACGAGAAACAGGCTTATACAGTTTACCTTTTTCACTTGTATCTTCCCCTGAAAATATTATAAGATACAGGACAAAGCTTTATAACTTTGGAGTTAAATATTTACACTTTGAGTAAAGCTTATCAAAGGCTACCTCAATAAAATTTAAGTATTGTGTAGTATTAATTGTGATTGTTTCTTCGAGAAAGCGGCGCGCCACGTAACCCTCTTATCGTAACCCCCTCTAACTACATACCAACCCAGGAGATGGCAAAGCAAATCTGCTGTCGCACAAAACACGTACTGTCCTCTCTCGCTACTTTCAAGTTCTCCAAGTACTGGTCACTGTGCAACCTCCTCCATAGACAAAAATCTTCTCTTCCACAGATCTTCACAAACCACAGATCTTCTCAGTGGTTAGTGAATCCGATCCACAGGTAGATTCAGTAAAGCAACACTCTTGCTAGTTTTATCAAGACTAGTTTTATCCAGACCACCCACGTTGAGCCTTGTGAGCTCACTTACCCTACCACTCCAAACGCAATTGTAATAACCTTTTAAGCTACCAACGAGCTTATTTATTTATATATTACATAAAGGTGGACCAATAGCCCAACTCAACATAATGAATAAGATAACAAAAAATAGAAATAGAAAGCCAATTAAAGGTCCACACCACTATAAACAAGTTAAAATAAGAAAACCAGAATCAATATGAGGAAAAAAATAAACCAAACTATTTTAAGTGAATACTTATAATATTCAATGTCACAATTTAATAAATTTCAATTTTGTTACATATTATTTCGCCATCTGGCCTCACACTCTGTATCACCCAGAGGAAACCTGGCATTAAACAGACATCCCACCCTTATGATAGAGGAATTAAACAGATTAACTAGCAACCCATCAATTGAAGTCACCATTAACACATAACAATAATGAGTTTTGCCCGTAAGTAGTGGCAGGTAATGGCAATTAATCTATGTACAATAAACTTAGTTTTTTAGTAGTAGGGTACACTACCACGCATATATACACATTCATAGGGATCATCATTGTCTTAATTGAGCTGCAGAACATTTTGGAGTCACCTTCTGAATGGCAAAGTAAAAGATCCAGCCAAATAAATACTTATCACTTAAATATGTTATACTTAAATAAAAGAAGTAATAACATTTTGTTTCGTAATAAGATTTTATATGATTGTCTAAGTAGATTAATGATTATACAGTCTATCTGATGGTATAGGTCACCCATGAACATCAATAATACCCGGAGCACAGCGAGGCCACTGCCCACAAATAATTTGTCGTAATTAATTTTGTATTAGCACCATAAAATTCTTAAAAGCATAAATAAGGTTATAGATATGTATTAAGATTGATAATTGAACTACAAGAAATTTAAATAAGGAATATCATACTTCGAGCTCCTGCATCATAGGTTCCTGCTTTGACCCAAACTTTACTGGTACTGCTCGGAGCTTCTTGGAAAGTTTCCACAAATTCTTTGAATACCTAATAAAAATAATTATAATGAAACGTTGTTTTGTTGATTTAAAATTTTAAAATTAAAGTATTTTTCAAATAATGTTTTCTAATGTTCTTTCTTACATGTGCAGCGGCTTCTTCTTCTTCTTTCTTTCGAAGTTCCTCCAACTCCCTTTTAGATAGACCTCTAAGACTCATTTTGTATTAATGTATTGTAGCTTTTCAAAGTTTGTTAACTCTTTGCGGTCATTTACGATACCGTGAAATTAAGATTTTTTCTTTAATCTTCATTACGAACAATTATCTAATTGTGACTACTAGTGTTCATTTAGTAGGGACTTTGATTTAGTAAATAGGTAAATACTTTTCACAGCGTAAATTTAAAAGGCATGAAATTCGAAAAACCAATGAAATTACAACCTCACAAAAGTCACAAACTTCATCTTAGTTGTTAACTTCATAAGTAGTAGTAGGGTTTTTCTCGGAGATAAAGGCTATAGAACTAAGCCATTCAGCCAATTCTTAAGTTTTATATTTCATTATATTTAATCTATTTCATTCATTCATTAACATGCATCATTCAGTAAATTTCAAGGCAAAAAAGCCAATTCTTATGTATTCTTCATTTATCTTTTTCAAATCCGTGAAATGTCTATTAAGATTATTTTTTTCCATTATGTTTTGGTTGATTTGGTAGGATCAGGAATGTAATTTCCGGCGGCCACGATTCTCGTATCGTGCCGCTTTCCCGAAATGGCGCACTGATGCGGACTGTAGATACTTACTGATGGACTCTAGGTCCATGTCGTCGTGAAGGTCCGCATTTCTAACGTACCACGGAGCTCCGGCGGCTATCCTGAAAAAACGGGATTGCATTATTTGGAGGTGTTTCAAGTTTGTGCGAGCCGCGTGAGCGTACACTACACTTGCATAGATCATGACAGGACATACAGACCTCAATATGCCTCACTAACATGAAAATTTGCACATATATCATGGATCGATAAGCTTTTATTACTTTGGAGCTAACATTTTGATCAAGGTCAGGGAAAATATTTCTTTATTTTTATTGTTTCTACTTGCGGTTTAAGCAAAATCTTGTTTTATATTATCCTAGATTAGAATCGCTCACCAATACAGACAAAAGGACAAAGTCAATAAAGCCTTAAATTATTACTATTGATCTGTGACACACTAAGCTCCAACCTTTTGTTTTTTTTCAGCTCAGCCATCGAACCTCCTGCGAGGTTTCCGCATCTAGGAGGCGCGCGGGGTATGTGGGACTGCGGGGCCGCGGGCACAAACATGTTTTCAAGACCCTACCCACTAAACTACTCCCCTGCACTCTTTGCTCAAGCGTCCGATCCCCTCCGAGGTTAGAACCCAGATTAGGTAAGGGTTATGCCCTTGCCTCATCACACGCGGTCAACAATACAACCAGACAGCGCAGTTCACCCCAAGGACGCCCTGCCGACGGAGCCTTCAAGGCGAATCGAAGGCTCTGAAACGTCAGTCGTCCCGGTACGGCAGCCACTCAGGCCGCCCAGACGGTGCCACTGGTGTCCCGGAATACCCCGCTGGACCAGAACCAGCCTGCCGGGTCGGGACGCGATACACCGCCAACCGGTTGCTCTTTTAATCTTGAAGATATGACTCCATGGCAGCGCGCTAGTGCTGGTAGCGCGCCGCGCGGCCTCGACCCCCATCAGGTCGCCCTATGACCTTCACCGATGGTAGGACCACTTAGGAGTCCGCGCGGGTAGGTACCATCACCCCGCCTATTTCTGCCGTAAAGCAGTAATGCGTTTCCTTTTGAAGGGTGAGGCAGCCGTTGTAACTATACTTGAGACTTTAGAACATTTCTCAAGGTGGGTGGCGCATTTACGTTGTAGATATCTATGTGCTCCAGTAACCACTTAACACCAGGTGGGCAGTGAGCTCGTCCACCCATCTAAGCAATAAAAAAAAACACTAAGCTACAACCTACTAAAACTTTTTTTGTAACTTAGCTCAATTAACGAAATGAGTTGAGTCGGTGTTAGGGAACCGACTAAAATTCCTTTTTCCTAATCCACGCCATCTATCGGCATAATGAAGAAATGTAACGCGCCCCCTAGCGGGCGAAAAAAAAACTATAGTCGACGTCTCGAATATATTAAGTGTATAATCCATAGATTATACACTTAATAGTATAATCTATGGTCGACGTTTTCGAACCGCGCGCGCGCCAAATTAAAAGTCTTTTAATTCAAAAATACTGTTTTTCGCAAACTTTGCTATTCAACTTGTGCATGTGTCCGTGTATCTTAAACTCCAGCATCCAGAACAGTTCCCCGGGGACAGAAGACCACAAAATATATCAAGTAAACCTGTGTGAGTACCTTCCCCTTTTTAGTCGGTCTAGTTTTCTGGGAATTTAAATTTAACTCAACAAACTTGTTTACACAACAGTCGGTATTGTTTATTATTATAAGTTTGTACCAAAGAAAAGGAATCCAACAGATTATTAACTAGACCGAACTTTGGTAACTTATAATTTTTAACACTATATTTATAGTAGACAAAAAATGAAAACACATATATGATTACATATTAATTTATTGAAAAAAGTATACATCCAAACGTTTCGATGTAAAATTAAACAAGAACGATCTGCGTTACGCTATCATTTATACATTTACAACGCAAATTCCAACAATGTTACTTACTTTGATGACACTTATTTTGAAAATAGCAACACTATCGCAATTTCCGTTGTGCGACAATAAAAAATGTCTAAGTAATTAATAAAAAATATACAGTCAAACAATAGATAGCAGCAAAAAATATTATTCAACATTCGTGCGATATTGTAAACAGAATAATGAAAATCTCAAAAAGACGTAAATGCCGTACTCATTTTATCTTATTTAAGAATAATACTCATTACAAATAATAATACATCGGTCTATTTTCGGCAGCATTCTATAGCTAATCTACTTCTATTTGTCAAATTTTCTTGTTTTAAAAAACTAAAGCGATAATTCTTTCCTTGTTAATTACATTCAAAAATGCTTATCTTATATAATCTTTTTATGCAAGCATTATGTTAATAAACGAATGCAAGATATAAATTAAATTAATATTACTAAAGTATAAATGTATTGCATTAACGAAAAATATTTTTGACTAATAAATTGTATCAATATTTTTTTTATTAAAAGATCAGACGGCATGTAGTTTCAGTACACATGACATTATTATTAATGACGATGACACATATGTAGTATAAAACAACTTGTGCATTGTATTGTGCTTAAATTAGAAAAGCTTCAATGTTGGTGGAAGTATTTAATATAAAATATACCACTTTTTGCCTAAATAATTTTCTGGTTTTTCATCGTAATATAAATTTGTTCATGTTATATTTTTCATTAAGAATATGTGGGTCGAATTTTTCAGTTTATATTTAATGTGAACTAATATTTATATGTAATATAATCTACACAACGTAAATTGGAAAAAAAAATGTTTTATCGTAGTAAAATAAAAGCTTTTTTTCTTCTTATGTCAAACAAAAAATATTTGTTTCCGTTTTTTATTTGTACTACTAGTCTATGTACTCATTACACTTTATCAAAATGTTACTTATTAAACATCAGTTTCACGTAACAATAAATAGAAATCAAAAAACAAAAGTATAGTGTCAAATATTACATACATCATTACACTATACCATTAGTGTTGTATTGTGAGCTTCTGTGTGGAATATCCGTTGTTATATTACACGACCTTTTCTTAAATAATACTCACTAACTTATAACTAGAGGTCGGAGTAGGTAGATTGATTTAAGGTCGTTGACTTCAAACGTAGAGGATAATATGGATATGCCTCCAAAACACCGGAACCTCATATTTATTGTGATATTTGTTCCGGAATTTTGAAATTAGTATAAATCTGTGTTTAAGGTGAAAAACGTATTAATAATATTAATTTACGCTACCAATGCTAGCTAATGGTGAAAGAAATCAGTATTTTATTTAATACAAAAACGCCTTGGAATAGTAACGCCGTATTTTTTCCCTTTCTGTTGAATTAGAAATGACGCTTGTCAGTATGAGACAAAACTTAGACAGGGCTTTTTGTTACTTTATCTCATAAATATAGAAATTGTATCCGAAGAAGATTAAAAATATTTTAAAATAAATGGCATGTCCATATTATAATCTCTTGACGCAAGAATATAAAATCAATCTACCTACTCCGACCACTGCTTATATCAAATCGAGGAGCGAAAGGCTATTTAGTTTAAGCGACATTTTTGCAACTTTACAGGGGAGTCATTTAAAAGTTAAAATTTAGAAAAAATACCATAACAAAAAAATCTTCAGCTATCTTCTCAATCGTGTCACTCTTGACAGAGTGGTGGTGGTGATCGTCATGTAGTGTTGGAAGGGGCAGACTTGATGCGTCTCAGGATGTCCCCACATCTCTCCCTGCTCGAGGCCATTCGACTGCACTCATTTAGGGGACCCCCCACTGCAGTTTTAATTTGGTCGGTCCACCGCATTGGTGACCTCCCTTTCGCTATATGAATGGGTTAAATTTAATTCAAGTTCATTTAAAAAAATCGAACAGTTGATGCTAATCTATATAGCATATAAATGAATTGCTGTTCGTTAGTCTCGTTAAAACTCGAGAACTTTTGGTCTTGAATTATTTGTGGAAGTCCAGAGAAGGTTTAAGGTAGAATAGAAGAAGGTAGATAAATATGAAAATGCTCGGAATTAAATGAAAATAGCTATTTTGTTTTTCCTTTGATGTGACCCCCGTCGGACGGATTCCTTTTGTTTGTTTTAAGTTTATTTTATACAAAACTTTAGGTCTTTTATTTATCGATTGAGGCACAACGAAGTCTGCCAGGTCAGATAGTACCAAATAAAACGGACCTTTAATTACAAAGATAAATGTCGCGTATTAAACGAAATGTCGCTTAAAAATAGCCCTTCACCCCTCGAAATGTATGAATTCAACTGTTCATTTTTATTAATAATTACAAGTTAAAAGGGTGTCGCAATACATAAAAAAAGAAGCTGCTCTTTATATGTGTTCGTTCAGATAACTGTTTATATTAGAACCGTAACCCCGGACCGGTGGTGCTGATGGAAACGACTCTCTAACCAAAATACAAAATAATTTACACAAACAATAAATATTAGACTACTATGTTTAATCGTGTGAATTGAAATATATGAGTTTTTATATATATGTATTTTTTAAATTCTCTGTATCGAAGGCCACGTGCCGAGTTGCCTAGCGACTAGTCTTTACGGACACCAAATATATAAAACGAGCATTTTGACTAAATTTTTTTTTTGCACTGGCAACCGTGCATTGATTCATCGGTGTACCTATATCTCTATGGTTTGTCATTTTGTTGTTAATTACTGTTTTATTTATTAAAATCATTTATACAACTGTTTTATTTATTAAAATCAATTATACATAGTATATTACATAGTCATTGTTTTTACGAACGGCAACAATTGAGTCTATACTAATAAAACGCATGTTTCGATCGTCGCTAATTTTTAATTAACCATTCAACATTCACAATTACGAATTTATACGAATGCTAAATGTATAACTTTAGTGTTTACTTTTTTTTTCTCACAATACCAATGTACAAAAAGACTTTTATTTCTATTCAACATGTAACATTTAAATTGTTGTACTATACGCATTTTGAAACAATAACGAACGATGATATACTAAACGCGTACACTAAATAATATATTCATAATAAGTCGATAAAACTAAAATTGTACTCGTATTAATTGATCGATAGACAAACTATTAAAAATATTTTTTTCACATACAATATACATACATTGAATAATATAAAATTTTATAATTACATTAACGTTGTTGGCTTTGTGTTTTCATCGCAAATGTTTGCTCCAACGTGTTGTGACACGTGCCGTGCACATCAAATGTTCGGCCAAACATTTTTGTGAACTGCATATAAATGAATATAGTGAAACTCTCAACATTTACACTGTACAGGGAAACAAGAATATTACTGGACATTATATTTCCGTTGCCTTAGTCGCGTGTTTAATCATTTCTATAATATACTCACATTGTATTATTTCCAGAAAATACTAAAAAAGTATTTTGAATAAAATTGTTGACTTTCAACGCGTCAATATTTAACAACACCGATATTAAATCGACACTTAACAGAAATGTCAAGGAGGGTTTTATACGAGAATCGAAATAAATCTCCAAAATCGTAAAAAGCGGGCGTTATTGCACGTCATTAATCTATCGAGTTAAAATCGATTACCGTCATTTCGAGGAAGCGATATATCGATATTTATCACAAACGATTCGATGAACCGCTGTTCTGTTTACGTGATAAGCGTGCGTGATCAGGGCGGTGCGTCCGGTGTGCGTCAGGGTGGCGCGGCGGTGCGGGGGGAGGGGGTGGGGGTGCCTCAGGCGTCTGCGTCGGCGCCCTTCAGTCGGAGTCGAGCGAAGTCTTCGAATATTATATCGTCATCTTGTTCTTGGCCGTTTTCATCTCTGCAAAGAGTTCGGAGATTTTAGTTAAAATCACTACAGTTACACCACATAAGGGAAAATAATTCGAGATATTTAATGTTAGGCGATTTATGAGTCACTATGATCTTCAATCGTTCACTTCATTCACTTCAATTGTAGGAGATTCAAACATAGAAATATTACAGATGATTCAATTTCGATAAATTTTCAAAATCGATATTCGTGAAGCAAGGTTAATGAGCATAAAACTAAAAGAGTTGAAGAAGAAGGAAAGAATGGTCGAGAGAATACATTATTATTAAACTAATTTGCCTAAATGTACCTATATAATAACATCAAAATCCAAAGCCGCTTCGTGGGCGCATTTTAGTCACATTCATTAATACGCGGAGTTTAGTTGATTCGAATAGATAAATAATCTTTTTCTGAAGAATGAAAAATATAATTTGACAATTGAAATAGAGGTGTTAAATCAACACTATTTTCAAATAAAATAGTGATGTAGAAAATGGTTTTTTTTTAAGTCTGAAGCCTACTAGTACGAACAAGAACAATAACATGACAGCATGCATCACAACATGGGAGACAACAGGAAACTCGACGATGAGGCACATCATACATTGCTACCAGGATTCCTGATTTCAAATAAACCGGAACCAGCATCCAGAAGAATGAGGATATATGACAGTAGTGCTGGACTTTTTGGCGGGAAAACGAGGTATGAAGTTTTGTGATTTGTTTTATTTTGTCTATTTAGGGTTTCTTCAGATTTACATGTGTAATTACGATGGTTTATTAACTTTTTAGTTTCTGTGAAAGTGCACAAATGTGGGAAAATGAAACAAAGCCGCTGAACGTAACTTCTCGGGTTCCTCTAAAAAGTCTACTGAAATAGTCTCAGTAAATGACCACCATTTTACTGAGGTTATATTTCATCACATATCATCTAATCTCATTTCAATTAATTTCATGCCAATTGATGAAGTTTCCTTAGTTTTTTATTATTAATAAAATGTAAATAATTAAAACTGCGAATTACAAAAATCTTGTTACTTGACACTGGTTAAAGCACGAACCGTGCCGGCGCCAAAAACTAAAGAAGAAGAAGGCATTAGTGCTACTACGTACGGAGGCGGGTCGAGCTGGATGAGGTCGTGGTCGGGGGTCGCGTGGGGCTGGTCGGGCGCGCGCGGCTCCTCCTCGGGCTTCGGATGCATCAGGATGAACGGCAGCTCGGCGCTCAGCTCACTGCAAGTATACAGTACACATATACAGTTTTATTTATTTATTGCTTACATCTGTGGACGAGCTCACAGCCCACCTGGTGTTAAGTGGTTACTGGAGCCCATAGACATTTACAACGTAAATGCCGCCACCCACCTTGAGATATAACTTCTAAGATCTCAGTATAGTTACAACGACTGCCCCATCCTTCATACCGAAACGCATTACTGCTTCACGGCAGAAATAGGCAGGGCGGTGATACCCACCCGCCGGCCGGACTCACAAGAGGTCCTACCACCAGTGATTTGTCGTCCCTATTCTAACTCTAGTCTCCATTCCCCCTGTACTTTTTTTTCCTATCTATGCTGATAGCGTTAAGAGGCTATGTCAGCTTCGCCCTAACATGTAGCTGAGCTCACGGGGCTCAAATCGGAGTGTTGCTAACACTGGCCCTAGCAAGAGCAGCGCTTCGCGGAATCTACCACCGGATCGCAAACGCGACCCACTGAGAAGATCCGACGAGAAACTCAATGGGCTCCCCCTGTACGTATCATTTAATATACAAATGACCACTGTTTGTTTCAACGACTCGATGCAATTTTTTTTTATTGTCCTTGTGGGCAGACGAGCATACGGCCCACCTGATGGTGAGTGGTTACCGTCGCCCATGGACTTCAGCAATGCCAGGGGCAGAGCCAAGCCGCTGCCTACCAAATATTGTCTACAATAATCTACATAACAAGCGACAATATAGTTTAACTCACCCTCCGAGCGGTCCCAAGCACAGCTTCACTTTAACTTTGTATTGAACTATGATACCCAAATTTTCTCGTTGCGCCGGATCAGCTATACTGTAAATCATATAACAATAGTCAATGTAAATCTCGATTAAAAGCTCGATTATTTCTTGATATTCGTTTATTATTTAAATCTTTAGCTCCATTTAATGATAACGAGTAAATGTTTTTCATAGTTTTCTTATAGCAGACTTATAAAGATCCGATAACTCATTAAGTATAAGACTATTGTTATCTAAATTTAGTTTAGTTCTTTTGTATTGCTTAGATGGGTGAACGAGCTCACGGCTCACCTAGAGTTCAGTGGTTAGCGGAGCTCTTAAACATCTACAACGTAAATTCCGCCACCCACCTTGAGACATGAGTTCTAAGGTCTCACTTTTAAAAGTACAACGACTGCCCGACTCTTCAAACCGAAACGCATTACTGCTTCACGGCAGAAATAGGCAGGGTGGTGGTACCTACCCGTGCGGACTCACATGAGGTTCTACCACCAGTTCACAAGACGTTCTACCACCAGTTCACCAGACGTCCTGCCTTGACAATACAGCGTGGACTCACAGGGTGCTGGAGGCCAGGTTCGTGTCCTCGTGTTTGAGTTGTCCATCAAGCGCCAAGCCCCACTTGTCCTTATTGTTGGCGAGCAGCGGCGTCAGCGTGAACACCTTGCTGAGCGTGAATCCAGGTCCCACGGGGCAACCCTCCCTATAAAGTTAATCGAAAACAAACATCATAAGTCACAAGCTTGTTTATGCTTTATACATACTGTTAATTTATTATGTGTATGTAAGTAAGTATATTGGAATATCCTGCTAATAATATAAACGTGAAAGTTTTTTACAATTTCACGTAAAAACTACTGGATGGATTTTGATGAAACTACAATAATATAGCTGACACACCAGGATAACACATAGGCTATAAGTTCATAAAGATATAGTGTGAATTACCAAAAATATAACGATAAGTGTCAAGTAAGTAAGAACAAAAATTGCCATCTCATTTTCATAATCAATAATAAATTACAGTTCCCGAAGCAAAGTGAGGTCGCTAGTAAATCATATAGTGATTTCATATTATATGTAAACGGTATCTAATATATAAAATTCTCGTGTCACAGTTTTCGTTGCCATACTCCTCCGAAACGGCTTGACCGATTTTGATGAAATTTTTTGTGCTTATCCGGTATCTATGAGAATCAGCCAACATCTATTTTTCATCCCCCTAAATATTAGGGGTAGTCCACCTCTAAATTTTATTTTTTATTTTTTAGACAAAAATTTTTGTTTTTATTTTTTTATGATACAGCATACAAAAATACATACAACCCTAATTTTTCACCGCTCTACGACCAACCCTTATTTTTTATTTGCTAATTAAAAACTTAAAATTTTTTGCGAGAATTTTGTTTTGTATTTTGTCATGATGTAGAATAAAAAAATTCATATTACTCTGAAATTTTCACCCCTCTACGATCAACCCCTATTTTTTATTTGTTAATTATAAACTTCAATTTTTTTGGGAAGATTTTCATTTTTATTTTGTCATGAATTAAAATAAAAAATCTGATGCTACTCTCAATTTTCACTCTTATACGATCAACCCCTATTTTTCCATCCCGATTAATATTTGCAATAAGGTTGCAAGATGGCAATCAAATATTATAATTGTAGTACGATAAATTCTTATACAGAGTTTATAATTTCAAATTCCTTTAAATATATTTTTTTTTAAATTGAATTTGATCTCCCGCCCTCGCCGGTCGACTACTGATCAATTATCAATCGATCAGCTATCCTCGCCAGGTGTCACCACTCATCCAGCAAACATCACGTAGTAGGGATGAGGACGAAGCCGGTCTCCTGTCTTACTTACTCACTATACATCATAGATTATACACTTAATATATTTGAGAGCTATACAATACTATACATTTTTCAGCCATGTTTTTTTGGTTTTATTTGTGNGTCTTACTTACTCACTATACATCATAGATTATACACTTAATATATTTGAGAGCTATACAATACTATACATTTTTCAGCCATGTTTTTTTGGTTTTATTTGTGTATCAATAGTATGTTCAGTAGGTCTGAGAATCGGCTACTATCTATTTTTTATACCCCTAAGTGAAAAGGGTTGTCCACCCCAAACATTAATTTTTTATTTTAATTTATTGGATATATTTTTTTTTGTTTATAATGAGGTAATAAGTGGTTAAATGAGGGTTTTTTTTCTACAGTAGAATTTCCCTAGAAATCTTATTTAAGGCAACACAACGTTTGCCGGGTCAGCTAGTATATATATATTTATTACATGTCTGTACTTTCTTTAATATTGTATTGTTAATAGTACATCGCAACATATTTGCTGTATCTTTATCTTTTCCAGAATTTATCTGTAAATTAAACGGTTTGTCTGGAAGACATCGCTTTTAGCGATAAAACCGGTTATTGTGGACTGTTTTTTTAACTGTGTTTTGGTGTGCAATAAAGTATGTTCTCTCTCTCTCTAACATAAGTTAGAAAACAAGCAAGCCATGGACATTGATATTGAAATATACAACCGATACAGTTCACCGATTTTATTATTAAGTATTGATGTACATATTTGACTGAACGAACATTCCTTGTTACTTCAAACTTTATACACAGATCGAATAAAACTTGTAGCTTACGTTTTAAATAATTCACATAAAACATTATACAAGCTTAGCTTTTCAGGTCACAGAATTCATCAATGACTAATGTGCCAGTCTTATAAAACCATTTCAAAATTTTTGTATTTTTTAGTAAAAAAAAACAAAACAGAGTACACGTGGGTAGTTAATAAAAAATTAAAATCAAAATTGCTTTTTCATTTATTTGTTTACACACGAAATCATCAAGCAGTCTTCATTAACAGTGTTTTTATCTTTTGGGATATTAGCTAACACAAAAACAAACAAACTTTTGTTTTGATATTGACAATGGGATAATGCAAGCCAGTGAATGATACGTTCAACTCAAAACCGATCACACAAGCACTCTCACCAGTCTCACCAGCGGGCACGGTTTTACTTACAATGGCCGCATTTTAAATTTCTCGTTATAAGCTCCGATAAATGGAATAGACAACATATTCTTCACAGACCAATTCGGTGCCCTGAATGATTATAGTAACTTATTAGAGAAAAGAGTAAAAGTTCAAAAAAGTCACAGATCATCTATTTGCGTACAATATAAACGCATAATGACCTTCTTAAATGATAACACCTAACGATCTCTCAACACTAGTCCGCAGCATCTGTTCATGACTAAACCTAACCTAATCTATCTTAAGAAGGAGGGAGCCTGGAGATCAGTAATACAGGTCTTTGAACCTAGTACAGACTTCAGCTCTTTCAAAGTCTTACAAAAATAAATTAAAAGGTTAATTTCTATTTGTATTTGTACTACACCTTTAAGAGAGAAATAAATAAAATTATTATTATTATTATTTCCATACTAAGAACGTTGAAAATCAAGTTTTTCCTACCTATTCGCTAGTAGCCTAGGAGGCTATTCCAGCTATTCCCAAACGGGTAGGTGAACACACAGGTTCAACCTGAGAGAATTTGCTAACACTAGCCCTAGCAAGAGCAGTGCTTCGCTGAATCTACTACCGGATCGGAATCGCGACCCACTGAGAAAATCCAGCTAGAAACTCAGTGGGCTGTGTCTATGGGTTAGTACGCAAGTCGAACTCTTCGTAATAAGCGATGAGTTCGACGAGGACGGTGACCGGTGGTTGAGAGGGAAAATCCCATTAATGAAATAAAACTAGAGAAAAAATTTATTGATTTTCGTCGAGGACCCTATACCCTCTCTGCCTATCCTCAATCGTATCGGACTTTTTTGGCGGGAACGCGAGGAGTGAAGTTGTTTTTTTTTTGTCTATTTAGTGTTTCTTCAAGTTTAAATGTGTAATAACGGTGGTTTATTAACTGTTTAATATCTGTGAAAGTGCAAAAATGTGGGAAAATGAAACAAAGTCCCTGAACGTAACTTCTCGGGATCCTCCAAAAAGTCCACTGAAAAAGTCTCAGTAAATGACCACAATTTTACTGAGATTATATGTCATCCCATATCATCTCATCTCATTTCATTTCATCCCAGTTGATTAATGTCTCAAATTAACCATCTTCATTTCATTTCACTTCATATTATCATTTTTCGTAAACATAAGAATATAAACTAAAATAAGACATGACTTAAAGGTCTTAGTTACCAGGTCATAAAATCCTTTAAAAATCAATCGTATCGATATCGATAATACTCACTCGCTCTCCGCCTCTGCAACGGTGCACTTGTACTGGGCGGTGGAGAAGAGGCAGATGTCGGCGAACTGCCGCACCGACACCTTGATGCGCTTCACAGATCGATTCGAGTTGTTCGCTATGTGCACATTCACCGCTATGTTCTCGCCGTGGTAGTAAAGCTCCTAAGTATTCAATCAATCAGACTCTATAGTCGTATTGTTTCAATGATATGAACGTAATTAATACTATTTTCTGTTTTAGTGGGTAGTAATAAACTAGGTATTTATATTTATTTATAGTACACATTTCGTTATTTATGTAAATAAGCTTAGAGCCTACCTATAGATAGCGGAGTGGATTAGCAAAGACATAATAGTGAGAATGTCGCCATTCGCCCCGAGACGTGGTATCGAAATTTCAATTGTATTCCGTAACGGTAGTACCAATATTTAAGCCAGAATCGTTCTTCGCGGCCATACGATTTTGGTATCTATTCGTAGCAGTTATAGAGATGATTTTGGTATCTATTTGCATATACTGGACCCAAAATACGTTCAACAATCCAATAATTTCTAAAGTAAATTATTTTCAAGTGAGCTCATACGAGACTTAATCCCGCATGATAACTCAAGAGACGACACTGTTTTCCATTAATGTGCTACAATGCTGCTTGGTATTCTAGAGCAAAGCCTAAGCCCCCAAGCTCAATGATGTAGTCGTTAACATAATATACACTTACACAGTAACAGAAATTTCGTGAAAAAACCTTGATGGGTTTTAAAGTAAGAATTTGACTCACCAGATTGATGAGTAGCTCAATGTTGATAAGTAGGTATTAATTATTAATGAGATGTAGATCATACCTTATCTAAAGATGCCTCAAGATACAGTTTGTTAGGGCTCATCATGAACTCTTTCGAGACTTCGACTGAAGGCTGTTCGCCTTGCTTGCTCGGCGCGTACATTATCTTCCTGATTGCTAACCGAACCGAATTCCTGTAGAAATTGCAAAACATCACATCAACGGCTTAATACTGCTACGCCGGTAATTGCAACGCCATCTGTCATCGAATGGCGGAAGCGAATATCAAAGGAACTAGTAAACTCGAGAAGGTTCGGGAAGTACAACGCCATCTATTGTCAGATAACGGAAACATATATCGAAGTTACTCGACCTATCAAAAATAATCTCGATAATTGTGGAGATGTCCTATCGACTATAAAAGCGTTGCAGAGATGACACGAAGGCGGGCGAAGCGAAGCGGGAGAATTGTTTAATACAGCTACAATTTATACTTCGGTAGAATTTTTATTTATCCCGAACCCCAACACGTAACATTACTTCTAAGAATAGTCCGGAAATTAATTATTTTTTTGGAGCCTTTAGAACACCGTGTGTTTTTATTCACCTTTTGTGGGGTTTGTCATCTTGGGAATCGGCGACGAACGCTTTAAGCTCATAGTCCACTCCGCAAGGCTTGCCGGTGTCTCCCGGAGCCGGCTGCAGGGTCACCGAGGCCGGACAGTGCGGAGGCAGCTCGAAGTAGAACGGGTGAGCCGATGGCCCCAGTTTGCGGACTAAGCGTTCTTGTAGTCGGGTCAGCGGTCGCTTTACCGTGCTCGTCGGCGGGAATATCTAAGGGGTGACGACGACACGTCAATCAATCTATACTAATATATAAATCTACAGTGGTTTTTACGGATGTTCCGTTAAAACTACTGAACCGTGCATCCGATTGACTTGAAACTTGGTAACCATGTAGAAAATATATGTACTTAATGGATAGGCTAATATTTAATATGAGTGTTGGACTCCCAACACGATTTGCAGGGGCGTTAATGATGAGAATCTTTGTGGGGGTGAGAAATGTTAATGTTAATTTTAAATGCCCAGCGAAGCGGACCGGTACAGCTATAATATACTCATAAAAACAGATTGCATTTTTAGTGATATGATATTATTATGAATGTACGTACGGTACTGATAATATCGATACCGATATCAGTGGGGCACGTGATTTTATACAACTTGGATTTCATTTAATGGCGTTCCTAAATATATATTCTGTATGCTAATTGTGGCGTGTTTTTTATTATTGCTCACATGGGTGGACGAGCTCACGGCATACCTGGTGTTAAGAGGTTAAGTGGTTACCAGAACCCATAGACATCTAAAATGTAAATGCCGTCACACACTTAGGGATATGAGTTCTAATGCCTCAGTTTTTAAAGTATAACCCCGACCCCTTCGAACAGAAACGCTTTTCGGCAGAAATAGGCAGGGTGGTAGTCACAGTCGCCTACCCGTGCGGACTTAGAAGACGTCCTACGACCAGTAGTGTTGTGAATGAAAATTCACTTTCAAAGAATCAAGTTGATGTTAAGAATCTCACTCAGTATATACCTGTTCGGCGGCTAAATACAGATCCTTCCTGAACGTAAGTCCGAGCACGTCCAAGTCCTCCCGTCCGTACCTGAACGCGGCCAAGACATGACCAAAAACCTTTCTATCTTTCACGTATTCCGGATCTATTAGTACGACCCCATCTGTAACAACGAATTCCTTACTGACACTTTGTCGTTGATATTCCTACAGGATCCTTGCACAATAATATGGCTCCTACGAAATAACTGTACAAGTTGCTACTTATTTCGTATTTACTTGTATATTTTTAGTATTTATTGATGACCGAGCTTTGCTTTTTTTTTTAATAACGCCATCTTGTTGTGTCTTTAAAGCGATTAGTTGCCCTCAATTAAGAAAAATAGTATTATTATTCGCCAATAGATGTCGGGAAGAGTTGATTATTGAAAACACGAATAAAACAACATTTTCTGAAAATAAATCGTAGCTAGATCGATTTATCGCCCCCGAAATCCCTTGTTTACTAAATGTTATGAAAATCGTTGGAGCCGTTTCCGAGATTCAGATTATATAATAATATATATTAATATACAGGAATTGCTCGTTTAAAGGTATAAGATAAGATTTAATCGTATGTAAGTCTATCTTATATTGTATTTATTTTTCACATGTGTATGTATTATATTATATTTATTTTTATGTAAGTTTATTAAGATACAGCACCGTCCAGTTCGCTTATTCCTCTCCCTGCAAGGTTGCCTGGACGAGATCGTTTTCAGCGATAAGGCCACCAAATTTATGTCACCAACTATTATTTGTTTTATATGCTTACTCTGTACATGTGATGTTAAATAAAGAGTTTTATTATTATTATTATTATTATCCTCGTCCCGAAACGCATGCAAAACAAGAACGATATCTTTCCCCTCCTATCCGAATAGATCTAGAACCAATCCCAGAATCTAAACTAATAATAATATTTATAAGTAGTATGGTGCCCTTGAAAGAGACATTGATACGTACCGATCGGGTCTACGTGTGAAATGTGATCGACGAAATCCCTCTTTCCCAAATACACTGTGATCTGTAAATACAATTGATAATTTTAAATATTTTGAAAACTGATAACACAGGATAACAAGAACTGATAAAACTGGTTTGCGGTCTACTCCAATTGAAGGTTTATCTATAGGAAAGGTAGTTTATATGTACATATGTGAAAAGAAGTGCATATTCAAGCATGTTGAAGAAATTACGTTATTAAAGATAGTAGAGGTCCCGCAGTAGTCGAAATTCGACTATAATTAATTTGAATTGTAAGCTTGTACACTATTAAGATTGTATTTTATACTTCTTTAATGACAAATTTCGCCAAGACTACACTATAAAAAATATAAACAAAGGCAAACAATATTTAATCTATTCTCAATTTGACACTGACGTCAAGAACAAAAGTTTGACAATAAATATTATATGCATGCGTGTGTGCGTCAAATACATGGTATGTAGTGTGTGTAATGTTTTCTATATTGATTTAATGTATCTTTTATGCATTATTTAAAAAAAAAAGCATTGTGCACTTCTTCTCTATGTTCTCTATAAGTGTGGAAAATTTCATGCTCCTCCGTCCGCGCAATTTTCGTAAAAAGGGATACAAAGTTTTTGCTTCACGTAGAACCCGGATGGCTTCGCCGGACACAGCCATAGCCAAGAATCGAATAAAACACGTAATTTAAAATAACAAACTTTGCGAATTACTCTCCACGTAATTTACCAAATTTTCCACGTACCCAAATCTCTTGTTATTAAAACATCAATCGTCGTTCTATGTGTGTTTGTGTTTTCTAACACGAAACATGTTTGTATTAAACAGATTTCCTACGCTTTATTATACACGATATAAGCACAATTCCACGTACGCTTATTATCCTAAACGCGTACACGATTCAGCGTAATTAGCAAGAGGCGCGCGTATGTATCCAAATTGATTTTAATTAGATTTAATTAAAACAATCTCCTTATTAATGTATTAGATGTGTTACGTATTTCTGAAAACGTATTATTTCGGAGTGCTCATTATTTCGTACAATGACACGAGGTGTTTTATTCCGTTCAAAAATTTAATTAAATTTGGTTTTAGCGATTTTTTTCTTTCTTTTTCCTACCTAAGCTGATGGTCTAGAGCAGGGGTTCCCAAACTTATATTGTCTATTGAACTTTGAGAATAAATTACTTTTGAACACCCCCCTTTTTCACCTAATTAAAAACCACTTTAACGAGAGCTAAGTCGGTATTTAAGAGTCCTCCTAGATGAAATTACAAATCTCCTCCTAAGCCTCTACACAACGCCCCCTTTTTTTTCTGGGTCTCTTACCGCCCCTCTTTAGGCCTGCAGCGCCCACAAGGGGGCGTTATCGCCCACTTTGGGAAAGGCTGGTCTAGAGAGACCATATCAGCGTAACCTTAACTAGTAGGTGAGCTCACGGGGCTCAAACCTGACGATGTTGCTAATACGAACCCTAGCAAGAGCCGTGCTTCGCAGAATCTACCACCGGATCGGAAATGCGACCCATTGAGAAGATCCGGCAAGAAACTCAATGGGTTAGTGAATAAGATACGTACATATGAGGCCGTCAGCGCAAAAGTGGCCTAACCCACAATTTTTCATAATCATGCTTATAATTATGTATGTATATTGCAATTTATTTATAATAAAAAAAACTTCGATGCAAAACCGGCCTATCCATAGTTTCACCCATAGATTACAGATGGCTTTGTAAACATTATTTATGCGCGTATTGTTTTTTGGCTACTCAAATTCATGGAAACTTAAACCTCATTGCTCCATAATAGACCGCTTTTGCGCTGACGGCCTCATATGTACAATAAATATGTATCTATATATTAATAGGTGAAGCAAAAACTTTCTATCCCTTTTTACGAAAATTGCGCGGACGGAGGAGTGTGAAATTTCCCACACTTATAGAGAATATAGAAAAGAAGTGCAGAATGCTAATATGTTTTTTAAATTATGCATTAAAAATACAATAAATCAATAAAGAAAACATTACACAACTACCATGTATTGGACACACACACATATACTCTTTGTTTATTGTCATTTTTTTTAATTGTTTAAAGTTTGTAGTCAAATTGAGAATAGGTTAGTATTGTTTATCTTTACTATTACGAGTACATATTTGTCTATAGTGTAATCTTGGCGAAATCTTTAACAATAGGACCATAATAATGTTGAAACTTTATAATTTCAAATAATTATGGTCGAATTTCGACTACTGCGGGACCACTAGTACATTTAAATTCGTCTGAATATTACCTTTCCATTTGGAGAGCTCTTCTTGAAGACTCTAGTGGCCTGCCGCTGCTTGTTACTGCCCGCGTCGTCCATTCTACCACCGCGGTTTCACCACCGCTGCTCATCAGTGTCCTGGGGATAGATTACAATATAAAATATAATAATATAGCAGTTCTCCTTTATGAAAATTAACTTAATCGCATTTGGAGAATGTCTTTAATGAGGTACCTATATTTATTATTATTTATTGCTTAGATGAGTGGACGAACTCACAGCCCACCAGGTGTTAAGTGGTTACTGTAGCCCATAGACATCTACAACGTAAATGCGCCAACCACCTTGAGATGTAAGTTCTAAGTTCTCAGTATAGTTACAACGGCTGCCCAACCCTTCAAACCGAAACGCATTACTGCTTCACGGCAGAAATAGGCGGGGTGGTGGTACCTGCCCGTGCGGACTCACAAGAGGTCCTACCACCAGTAAATAATTATTAACAGAATCCATAATGGCGTTAGATCTTGGTAAGTTTTAAAAGTTTTCTTACTCTTTATGATTCGTTTAATATGTCTAGTTTTCAACGGTGTTTTTTCCTCAGAATTAACATTACATCCGACTGATTTGGCGGTGCAGTAGTTAGCGATCGCACCTGATTTGTGACCTGACCTGTTTGCTCTTTTTTTAGGTTTTCATTATCTATCTATTATGTATATCTAAGTATATATATCAGTCTCTGTTTCCAACAGTACAGGATATCCTAGTTTGGGGCCAAATGAGCAAATGACTTGTCACCGTTTACTATCTTATATATAAAATTCTCGTGTTGTTGTTAGTTACCATACTCCTCTGAAACGGTTTGACCGATTTTTATGAAGTTTTATATGCATGTTCAGTAGGTCTGAGAATCGGCTACTATCTATTTTTCATACCCCTAAGTGATAAGGGTTGTCCACCCCTAATATTTATTTATTTATTGGATTTTTTTTTTATTGTTATAATGAGGCATTATGTGGTTGAATGAGGTTTTGTTATTTTTATATTCCCTTATCGTCCACAGCGCTACATGCCTCTTTCACTTATTTACCACATCCTTACACACTTACAATAAGTTAGTCTTTTTTTCTACACTAGAAATTCCCTAGAAATCTTATACATATATGGCAAAACGTTTGCCGGGTCAGCTATCTATTACTATAACATTAGCTATAAACACGTGCCAAACAAATACTGTCTTTAACCCAACAGCATACGAACGGTGTACATATTAAGAAAAAAACTTTGATACGATACGAATAAAATAGTTAATTCCTTACACGAACTCCGTTGGTGGTCCAAAACTCCGAGGACGTCGTTTGCTAAACGAGTCCGAACATAGTCGTATTTATTTTCTGAAACAATGAAAAATACGCCATTATAATGTATATACTACTACATATATAAACTATTCAGATAAATTGAATGAGCACATATTGACAAACTTAGAGCATTGAGGTTCGAATAGTGTAAGGACAAGCGCGATACGTTTAGTTGCATACGCATTTTGTATCGAAACTATTAATTTCACACCAATGTGTTTAGTGCGAGTTTTTTAACGTTTTCGATAGCGTAAAAGTTAACTCAAATTTGTATGCAGTTAAAACAGCGCCCCTAGCGGCAAACGTAGGCAAACGTTCCAACTCCATACACATTTGAGTTAACTTTTACGCTATCGAGAACGTTAAACAGTTCGCACTAAGTACACAAAACGTTTTAAGACGCATGCAGCTCACGTCATGGTTATGGCATAGTTGATAAAACCCTTGGCGCTTAAGAACAAGGAGAGCCGACCCTATATAGCTAGAAGAAGATATTTTACTTCATAAGTCCATTAATTATGCAGTGGCTATAAGAGAACATAGAAGATAGACTGATGTCTGAATTTCGTTAACCTTATTTTCTATATTAGATAATGCTATATTAGATAATATGCTATATGAGCAGGAGGCGTTACCTCCCAAACCCATATCTGAAAATCTTCCATACTTTATTAACAGTAATGCTTCGAATATAATACATAAGTCTAAGCTCCGATTCAGATAGAGTGGTTCCAGAGTTACAAATAAACAAACAAACCTTTTTTTTTCATATATTAAACCTATAATTAAATAGATACGTGACCACGCAGTTATCGATAGACCCTTATCATTTTACCCTCAACGAGATCGAATACGGCCGCAGGTTCTGTCTCAACCTTGCCGCTCAGAAATCGATATCCGAGAACCGATTCGATTAGTTTCCCTTCGATTCATTTATATTTCAGCTCCACGAAATTCCTTTTGAAGTTCGTATATCAATTAACCCTAACTTGGTTAATTATATCGAAGTAAAGCTTAATTGTTCATGATTACGAATAGTTGCTTTTTAATACGCTTTTATCAACTTCAGACTTATGGATGTTTGTAACGGAATCTTTGAACATGATTTTGACCCCCTTCAAAACGTCGGATTAACTCGAAATTTGGTATACTTATTAAGGACCGAAGATAATTCAATATTTAAAAAAAAAAATAAAAAAAATTTGAAAAAATTGGAATTCAACAAAAAAATGAAAAATAATTAATAGTTTAAAAAAACTATCAAAATACGCTTTTAGAGAAAATCCAACTAAAAAATAAGCGTGGGGTGCTTTTCAGGATATTATCGAAATAACCCTTCTACTCATATCTGTTCATAAAATATTTATAAATACTTATACCATGCACCCCACGCTTTTTTTTAAAATAAAATCATTTTTTCTTACACTATTTTTAATTCAAATTTATTAAAATTTATTTTCTATCTTTTAGTTGGATTTTCTATAAAAGCGTATTTTGTTAGTTTTTTTTAAACTATTAATATTTATTTTTGTTGCTGGTAAAGTATGTTTATTTTTTTAACCATCGAATTAACTTGCACGGGAGAGTATGCTCAATTTGCGCGACATGTCCACGGTTTTCATAACGAGTTAATGGATAATATTTTTATCATTGGCGTAAATGGCTAGACGCGCTCGTTGCCCTGCTGGAAATAACTGGTATCCTTATTAACAAACCAGAATACATGACTGCTTTACGACAAATGTACTGGGCGGAACGGTGGTAGTGACCGGTTAGGTATCACATCCTAATACTCGTGTCTCATCTATTCATCTATCACTTATTACTGGTGGTAGGACCTCTTATGAGTCCGTACGGGTAGGTACCACCTACCTGCCTATTTCTGTCGTGAAGCAGTAATGCGTTTCGGTTAGAAGGGTGGGGCAGCCGTTGTCACCATACTGAGACCTTCGAACTCATATCTCAAGGTGGGTGGCGCATTTACGTTGTAGATGTCTATAGACTCCAGTAACCACTTAACATCAGGTGGGCTGTGAGCTAGTCCACCCACAACGGCAATAAAAAAATAATTTAAACGTCTAGAAAGGGAATTTACAGGAAATTTACAGGAAGAACTGAATTAGACTTTGTGTCTCAAGGTGGGTGGTGGCAGTTACGTAGTTCAGCCTATCAATTCTAGTAACCTCATAGCACCTGATGCGCTATGAGCTCGGACACCTGACTTTGCGATGATAATAAAATTAAAAAAACCGAAAGGACAATAATTCTCACATCACTATTTGTCACATCACTGCACATTAGTTTTATATTAAGGTGTCGTAACATCGACAAAATAAAATATGGACATACTCATTCGTATCACATTCATGGGTGAATGAGCGTCACCCTAACGCGCTCGACCGTCGTCGTGATTGAAGTTTTCTCGATTTGTCGCTCTCATTTCGGCAGCACACGTGAATAGGTCAGATTATATCCAACGAACGTATCCGTATTGTAAGTATGTATTATGGACGGAATTTTTTCACTTCGTTAAAACATTCTTCGTGTTCATACGTGAAATACCAATTAGGTGATGCCCGAACACGTGCACGATTTGTATTATTTTTTAATTAGTACCAAAATATGAGTCGTTCTCTTTTTTTAGCTTTAATGGGTGGACGAGCTCACAACCCACCTGATGTTAAGTGGTTATTGGAGCCCATATAAATCTACAATGTAAATGCGCCACCCACCTTGAGATATAAGTTCTAAGGTCTCATGTATAGTTACAACAGCTGCCCCACCCTTCAAACCGAAACGCATTACTGCTTCACGGCAGAAAATAGGCAGGGCGGTGGTACCTACCCGCGCGGACTCACAAGAGGTCCTACCACCAATAGCGATAGCTTAAATTTTAAACAATACAAAAGAACGACTCGTCAATTTACTTAGTACTTTATAATTATTGAACTTGAAAGAGGTAAATTTTAACGGTAGTACCTACGCAGAAGGCTCCAATTGAAGGTTCTATTGTATTTTAACATCGAATTTACCTTTAAATAATTTTCATTTACACGGTATTCAACATCAATTCTTTGATATCGGAGAAATTCCTATTGTTGATATTTCGGACCGGTTTTTTGTTCTCGAGTAAATGATTCCCTTTTATCTACATCTCTCGCGGAGTGGTTCCATTATAGAAGTCCTAGAGAAAGCACACGAGAGGCGGTTTATTGTTTTCTTAAACCAAATAATAATAGGTCGTCCCTACATAATAACGTCAATATGTCATTATACTCGTAATACCGGAGGTAGGAACTTGATAGATTTCTTCTGTCGCCCCTCGCTTTGATAAATTGGACTTGTCACATCTTTTTATAGGTACTAATATTATATGTTGTTGAATAGGAATTACAAATAATATTAGTTACAGAAATGTATTAATAAGACTAGCTGACCCGGCAGACTTCGTGGTGCCTCAATCGATAAATAAAAGAGTTACCTAAAATTTTGTATAAAATAAACTTAAAACACACAAAAGGAATCCGTCCGACGGGAGACACATCAAATGATAAACAAAATTGTTATTTTATTTAGTTCCAAGTATTTTCATATTTATTTACCTTTTAAACGTTCTCGGACTTCCACAAATAATTCAAGACCAAAATTAGCCAAATCGGTCCAGCCGTTCTCGAGTTTTAGCAAGTTTTTAGGCAGCGGCTTGGCTCTACCCCTGGCATTGCTGACGTCCATGAGCGACGGTGAACACTTACCATCAGGTGGGCCGTATCCTCGTCTGCCTACAATGGCAATAAAAAAAAAGGCTAATGAGCAGCCATTCATTTTTATATATATAGATAGATAGATAGATTAGGGTTATAATTGTTAATACGATTCTGTTAATTTTTAATTAAGGCCTCAGGCCCTTCTATCTGTTGCGTGTTGCGGGTCATGATGCCATATTTCTGCCTAATCTTGCCACGAACAATAACCGTTAAATACCGTTTTACCAATAAACCGTTTTACCAATATATTTGACCTTCTAATCTTATAACGTGTCTGTGTCTGAGGGTGCCCCTGGGTATGCCGATGTAACATGAGAGAGCTAGACGAAGTAAGCTTGTCCTTTTATAATAATAAGGTGTCGTTTCTCGAAGATTCTGCATGCCAGAGATGTGAAAAGTTTGTCGTCGAATAATCGAGACAAAATCGCACAATCACGACATGCAGTGTCGAGTAACCGAACTTATATAAGAAGGTATTGAATTCTCCACTGCGCCACGTACAAACGCTAGATGGCGTTGCCAGTAATTTAGAAAAAAAGGTTTAATTAACGAAAATGAAATATTCTGGCGTTACACTCTTATGTCTCAAAGTGGATAGCATTCTGAATCTAATTCTTCTTCAAATCTGCTAAGCCCCAGAAGAGTAGAGAGCCGGTCCGCCTATCAACGCTAGTAAAAAAATTCGTTAGAACGAACTCGTCTAGAGGTAAATATATTTTAGGCTTCGTCCAGCAGACTGTTCATTTAACTTTTAATGAAATATCAAGTCCGACGGTGAATTTTAACACTCAGAGCGGCGGGAAAGCGAAAATAAACGACACGAAATGCATTTTAATGAAAACACGACCACTCTCGTATTCAGGGTCTTATTAAAGCCATCCCTTATGTGTGCATTAAAGAAAATGTTTTCGTATTCATTACTAACATGTCATAACAAGGTTATCCGTGCAAACGAGATAGTTGCTTCTAACAAAAACTAAACGATAAACGCACGATTTTCGTTTGTTATGAGATCAATACAACCATATCTAATCTAGGAGTAGTTTGTTTAAAATATCTATTTCTTGGCAGACTACTAGAATACATTTTGACAACTCCAAATATCTTTGGAAACATTTTCATGTTGGACAATAAACTCAACTTCATTTCATCAATTTAACTGGTGGTAGGACCACTTGTGAGTCCGCGCGGTTAGGTACCACCACCCCGCCTATTTCTGCCGTGAAGCAGTAATGCGTTTCGGTTTGGAGGGTGGGGCAGCCGTTGTAA